AAACCAGGTATTCATTCTAGGTAGGACTGATTTGTGTATGGTGACTTTTTGCATCTCATGATTTCACCACCTGCTTCTTTCCCTACGATAGACATGTATCTTTAACATGTCTGAGTGTGCAGCTCCTGTTGCTCCAAATATAATGGATAAAATGGAAAGAATGGTTATCTGAATTTCTGTTAGTAAGGTGTAAACTATAGGAAAACCAGTCACTGATGCCAGGCAGAAAAATCTGGTAAGACTATTGGTAATGGGATAGCTGTGTGTATGATGGGTAAGGATTAGATGAAAATTACAGTGGAACTAAAATATCAGCCTAAGTGAGGGAGCAGATTCCAGGTAATAGGGTGCCATATGAAATTCTTGATATGTGGTGTCCTTGTTACTGAACTTCCCAAACAGCTTTAATACTGTGGGAGCTGTTCTAGAGACCAAATTTGTGTATAAAAGCCCTTAATGTATACATACCTTAAGGTGTTGAAACAACTTACTGTGGCCTTTCGATACCTTAAGGGGACCTACAAGAACCCTGGAGAGGGGCTTTGGACAAGGGCCTGTAGGGACAGGCCAAGGGGAATGGCTTTAACCTGCCAGAAAGGAGACTGAGATGAGCTCTTAGGCAGAAGCTCTTCCCTGTGAGGGTGCTGAGGCGCTGGCACAGGGTGCCCAGAGAAGCTGTGGCTGCCCCATCCCTGGCAGTGTTCAAGGCCAGGTTGGACACAGGGGCTTGGAGCAACCTGCTCTAGTGGAAGGTGACCCTACCCGTGGCAGGGGTTGGAAGTGGGTGAGCTTTGGGGTCCCTTCCAGCCCAAAGCTTCCCGGGATTCTATGGGGGTTGTTGCCTCTTCTTCATTTTGGTCCCCATTTTTAGTGCGAGACCTTCTCTCTTTGCCATTTGATCAACAGAATGTAAGACTTCATTAGTTAGGCAATCCTTTAACTTTATTGTTTATGACCAATTGCAGTCCTAATTACAGAGCTGGTAAGAGGTGATACATTTTTACAGACTCGCATCTAGTCCTTGTACTGGGGAGTTACGAGGATGAAGGTGTAGTTTTACAAAGGTCAGAGTGGACAGAAATACATTACACATCTGTGGGTTATGCCACAAGTCTCTATACTGACAACTTGGAAATAGGACCTAAATGGAACTACAAGTTCCCCACTTTGCAGCCTGCTTACCTGTTATCAGGTCTTGCTAATCTCAGGCTGCAATTAAAGCTAAACAACTGCCTGTGTAAAATGAAGTGTCTATTTGATGACAAAAGGCCAAATTTTGATCCTGTATTCCTAGAATGCACCTTCTCTTTGCTATTCTCAAAGACCTGTTTATCTTGACATGTAAAGAGATAGGTTTCTTTCACTTCATTATCCGCAAGCAAACGTACCTGGTTGATAACTCATGTCACGCTTTGGTCCAAAAGCAGAGTGTATTTTGGGAAAGGCTTCCTTCTTTTAAGAGTTGCATCTGATCCAGTAAATCAAATTATGTAATAATAAAGTGTGTCATCAGCATAAACAAATAGCAGATGGTTTGTAAAACGTTTAATTTTAGATCAGTGCAAACAGACTGAGATAAACACTGCTGTGGAACATTGTCAGTCACTAGTGAAGCTCGAAAAGGGATTCCCACTGTGTGTCTGTGTCCTGGAGGATTCCACCTTCGTGCTTGTTTATCTCTTGGTTTAAATCTTGCTCTATTTATCCGCATTTGCTCCATGCTATTGCACTGGTCTGGCTGCGCTTCAAAGCGTGACAGTGCAAGCCAGCAAGGATCTGCTGATGAAAGCCAGAAGGTGTTCCTGGGGGAAGTCTGGGATCCTGCCGAGGCACTGCAGAGACAGGGCAGCTGCTCTCTGTATTTTGGGAGGGAACTTCTCTCTCATGTAGTTTTCCCACTGTGATGCTATTCCCTGCACCATACTTAGCTTCCTCTAGGACTGGGTGTAAATAGTGAAGCTGGAACTTCTTGCTCTTAAGATGTGAATGCATTCACTGCAAGACTCAGCTGTGATCAGTTTGAGATCAAGTTCAAAGGGTCTGTGCTATAAAATTGCAAGGCTAGGTTGGTTGGTTTGGGGTTTTTTTTCCCCCTACACAGTTAAAATCTGGAGGGTATTGTTCTGTATTTAAGAAATCTACTAGCACTTCTATAACCAAGGTTTCTGGTTGTGTGTTCACTGCTGTTTTATCTTGTCTTTGGGGACATTTATTTGTGAGAATAAATAAATTTGAATTAGTGCATCTCTTTTAACATTATCTCAAAAGGGGTAGTTTGTTGCATTTGGAAGGCACCTACGTTTTGGTTCTTTTACCTGTTTTTCAGTATGTGCCACTTATATCTATGATTTCTTAGTTCATGCAAATGGTTTTGGACATTTTAAATCCTGCAGGAAATACAGGCATAGGGTCTATGAGGAATCTTGACTTTCAGACGGACCTGTTATACTCCAGACGGAGTCTTGACAAAATCTTAACAGGGCAGGCTATTATTCCCGATATCCATAATAAATGTTCATGTCACAGCTTCCAAAGGTTTGTTTAAAATACCTTGTGCTACCTATGCTTCTAAACTGTTAAGTGCATGCAGATTTTCAGCAGATGATACACAAGTACTATGGCTGAATTATAAGCAATGATAACCTACTCCTTACTATAAACCAGCCTTAAAATGCAGGTGGCTGGATCATAGAAACAGAAACACTGTCTCCTTCAAAGCATAGAGCTGGATTCTCTTGGTAGAGGGGAAATGCAGTCAGGATTGTTTAGCTAGGAGAAGTTTGTTATTTCTTGTGGTTGCTAACCTTTTTATATCACTTTGTGGATCTATTTGACAGCAGCAGAGATGCCAAATTTGGGGTTATCTTAGGAGTCCTGTAAATCACAGAAAGTGCCTATTTTAGCTGCTTGTTTGGGTGGAAGTTACTTGTGTAAATACTGACATGGGGTAGGGTGAATTTAAACACTCTTTAAGTGTTTTGTGCATTGAAAAGTATAATTCATTTATACAGACGAATCTCTGACTGAAGACTTTTAGCTTCATGGTTTTCTTCTAAATCTGTCAGAAAAGAACCACTTTAGATGAGGAGAGTTGTCCATTCTTTCTGCAAGGCTTCTGAGCCTGACAACTTTTTGGTCAATACTTATGATTAATGACTTACGATGACTTCTATGATTCTACTTAATACAGAGGCTTTTTAAGTATGCATTTTCAATTTTGAAGTGTATTTACTAAAGTAGACATTAAAAGCTTTGCATTTAATCTGGAGCCTAGTTGTATACCTTATATTAAATGCAGTAAAATCAGACCTTATCTACATACAGAAACAGTATGCACGTACATCAGTGGCGTGTGGATATGCTTAATCTTAATTGTGTAGATGCACACGACTTGCAGCTCTGGGTATGAATTAACGTTGTGTAGCAGCAACCCAAAACGTGTTCACAAAAAGTGCATTCTCCTGATTTCTTCTTCTGGGAATGAATTTAAATAAGAAAAATGCCTGCCTTGTTGTGTGACAGCTGATGACAGCTTCAGAATCACCGAGTGACTAAGATGACAAGCTATCCCTACGCATCCACACAGCAGGCTTTTATAGTTGTCTTGTGTACACAAGAAACTTGTCTTAAGTGGTGTTTAAAAGGGACTCGCTTGTCAGTTCTGTGATGTGATCTAGATGAAGGAAGGGGTAATGTCCCCACATCAATGATGAAAAGATTGCAGTACGTATTAACCTGTCTGTGTAGCATGAAGCTTGTCTGGAGAGATGCAGGCAAATCCAAGTGTATTTTGTTCATCACGCTGCCAGATAGGAGTTAGGGAAGTTTACATCGAAATTCTGGTGTTGTTAGTCAGAAACTGATGGGTGAGATTGAGGAAAAAATCTTTTTATGAAGAAATACAGCTTTTTGATCCCTTTGATCAAGCAAATGACTGTAGTTTTATTGCTGTTGTGTAGCTACTGTGACTTTACAAGCGTGCAGTGTTGAATGGGGTAATTACTGAAAGGACTGTGAAGACATCGCTTCAGTGTGGAACTTACCTTCCATGTATTCAAAAGTTACTGGAAATTCATCACTTTGTTTCAGTAAAATGCTATGATATTCTCCAGTAGTCTTAAACAGCAGCTTCAGACATAGACCACATAGATCTGTACTTCAGTGCTGGTAAAGGAGGTGGAAATGGTATCCCTTTGGGTGCTGTATGCCTCTTTTAAACATTTCATCAGGAGGATCACAACAAAACATGCTTCCTCAAGTGCCCTTTTCTCCAGGCCAAGTTGACAGTAGACTCCCCAGCTCCAGGTTCATGTATAGAGCTAAGTCTGAACTACAAATTCTCCTCTGGTGCATTCACAATCACAATGCTGAACGCTGAAAGCTTAGAGTCCATTGAAACAGTAGAATGAAGTTTCAGCCTCAAATCCAGATGTGCTCCTTTTGCACAGGGATTCAGGCGAACGGCAGGCTGATTTTCAGGGAAAAAAGGAAGAGGCATCCTGAGTTTATCACCAGAAAAACGGTCACAGAAATGCTACCCTCTGTGTGATTTTCCTCGTGCTTCCATGGAGAGACTTTGGCAAAAGCAGCAAAACCAGTTCCTCGCTGCTTCTTATTTCACACGTGAATATGGAGCATATGCTCCGAGTGGGTTTGAAATCACTTAGATTTGACTTTTTATTTATGTTTGTTATTATGCATTAATCCGTAGCACTGAAAACATGTCATGAAGGAAACAGTGCAGTAGGGAACTAGTGGGAAAAATACTTGGAAATAGTATATTTAAAACGTTGTTTGATCACTGTGGTGACTAACATATTTATTTGCATTTGAAGGCATTCTTCTGTTTGCCCATATTTTCCTCATCATTTCATGTTGCCAAATATTTGGTTTGTGTTATTTTGCATTTTAAGAAATTACGATTTTTTCTGAGCATTACATGATTTTATATTTGATCTTTTTCAGGCTTGATTAATATAAAGATTTCTTTTTTCCTCTAGAAAGGTTCTAAAGGCAATCTCTGTTGGAGACTTAAAGCCTAATGAAACAGTTGAAGCAAACCTGGAAGCACAGCTACTCTCCAAATTAGACCATCCATCCATTGTCAGATTTTATGCAAGCTTTGTGGAGCGAGATGGTTTCTGCATTATCACTGAATACTGTGAGGTGAGACTTGTAGCTTACTTTGGAGCAGGTTGACAGGATGTGTGCTTTAAAACAGAGTCTTGAAAGAGGCCTAGCCCAGTCTTTTTAATGTTTTAATTGGATTTTACTTTCCATTTGTTACTTGTGGCATTGCCTGTTCCTTGTTGGTTGTATCTCGAGTAAGCAATGTTATCTGCTCATGTGAGACACACTGCTCATGGGCAAACAAACCCCAGAAGAGGAATTTTTGAACACAAGTTCATTTTGTTCACTGCAATCAGCGTGATAAGAAAGATTTAAATGCAGACACATTACCAGATCTGTGGGTGAGCTCAGAAAGGTTGTGCCATGTATGTACCTACTATTGATAGGTAAGACAGGACGAGAGGAGTGTGGGGATGTGGTATGAAATCTGATGTAAATGAGGAAGGGAAAGCTCACTTGTGATTTGGAGGGAATTACAAGAAGCTTAAGCCTGATCATGTGGATGGTGAGTTTGGTAGCAGCATTGTCTTTATGAAGTGAAGAATAGAGCATGTCAAAGACCAGGGTGTAGTAGATACAAGAAATATTAAAGTAGGTTGTACTATAGTAAAGTTACCTTTCTTTTTGACTCCAGCATTTGATTTAAAAGCACATTGCTTAAATCTGTCTTAAGGCTCTAAAATAAGAATATAAACATATTTAAGCTAGCTTTTTAAGGGTTTATGGAAAACAAGAGCCTACATTGTATTAAATATAGATGTACCTACAGCGATCTTTATACAAACCTGTGAAGCAGACTCATCGGTTGTGCTCTGATACACATTTCAAATGCTTTGGAAGCTAATGACCTTGGGCTGCTGGGTTACCTGTCCACAAATCAGACTTGTATCAACTAACCACATTTCTCCAAGCATTTGGCTTTGGTGTGAGTAATTAAAGAAGTCCAGTTCTTGGCAGTCATTGATTCCTTAGAAGCTGTCTTTGATGACAGTTAAATGCTTGTTTATTGCTGTTATTCAGTGTGAATATTTGTTCACGTATTATTTTGACAGCCATGCAGAAAGAAGCTCTTTGCATCATTCCCTGCATGTCTGACAGCTGGGGCTTGAGAGTGTTGCCAACTCTCTGTGGAAATCCAGAGCTCAAAACTGAAGGATTATTCAACCTGCCCAGATATAGCCATACACTAGGTTTAATTTTCTCTCTACCAGTGGTAGAAAGTGGGCCAACATGAGATCAGTTAAACCTATAGAAATAGAGGAGCCTCTTTCAAGAGCATTATACAGCTGGACCAGCTGCTTTTGTCCACTGGTTTTCAGTCTCTTTCTGTCTTTGTTTTTAGTTCTTTCCCATCTGGAGTAAAGTTAGAGATGAATAAAAAAGAGCACAATAGCAGTCACCAAGGTAATCATAAGCTGCTGTAGCACCTCAGTATTTCTTTTATCAAGCCGCCTGCCCTGCATGAAAACGTTTCGGTGCAGAATAGCCTTTGGAACTGGGAGTCATAAACTCAAACATGTGAGAATGTATTAGAGCAAGGCAAAGGGAGGAGGAGGAAATGGATGTGTTCATTGTGCTGCTGAATCTTTTTGAGTCTACTCAAGTTTTGCGTCTAGTAAGTCCCGTGAGAGTGAAAGTTGGTCTACGCAGATGGGATTCTGACCTTTCCCAGAAGGACATGATAGGTAGTGTCATTGCATTTAAGCAATTACAGTGTATTTAATCAAATGTTCAGACAAGGAAAGCACAAAGCAAGTTTGATATAGTGCTTTTCTATTTTAGTTAGAGTATTTTAAGAAGACATGCTTTCATATCTGATGGGGATAAGCATGCTGGGGAGGGACTCTTCATTAGGGACTGTAGTGATAGGACAAGGGGTAACAGGTTCACACTTAAACAGGGGAAGTTTAGATTGGATATAAGGAAGAAGTTCTATACTGTAAGGGTGGTGAGGCACTGGAATGGGTTGCCCAAGGAAGTTGTGAACGCTCCATCCCTGGCAGTGTTCAAGGCCAGGTTGGACAGAGCCTTGGGTGACATGGTTTAGTGTGAGGTGCCCCTCCCATGGCAGGGGGGTTGGAACTTGATGATCTTAAGGTCCTTTCCAACCCTAATTATTCTATGATTCTATGATATTGCCTTATTTATAACCTACCCTTGTACGTGGTAAGATTTGGACCTTTTTACCTAAAAGGTGCGTGATTAAATCACACATAAATTGAAAATGAGAAAAATGTATTGCTCCCTGATCCTTGTTTGGAAGTCTAGCTCATTCAGTTCCTCGTGCATAGAATAATTACCAGATTTGCAGTAATTGGTACTCTTGGGCAGACTCAAAACATAGAATAAACATGAAGTTGGCATGGAAACAGAACTATCCCCTGAGCCTTCTGTTTGCTCCAAAGTACTGTGACTTATTCATTAGCCACAGTGCTTTGTTAATTCTTGCATGAATAGCCTCCTGTGCAGCTGCCCCATGCTATACCTGTCCTGTGAACAAAAGAGAACATTGGTCCCTGTTGCTCAGCCCAGTGTCTTTTATCATAACTGAATTCATTTGGAATTACAGAAAAGAAATATGTATTCTGTTTTGATCTTGTTGAGCTTCTTTTCCTGAATAAAAAGCTTGCAGGCAATATAAATACTGGCAGATAAGGCAAATTTCAAACAAAAATGTGCCTACATGAGCCTTGTAATGTAAATTCTGCTTCAATAACATACAGTTTTTACAAAGTAGTTACTTAAAAAGTTGCATAATTTGATTACATGAGAAGCCAGAATTAGTTGTACTTTCCCCCCCACAATTATTTCTGTCTCTTTACTGTGCTTTCAGCTGTGATGTGAGTATACATGCACTAAAGAAATCTCAGCAAAAGGAGTAACTAAAGCAATCAGTGCCTGTTCACGTTAGCAGCTCTAGATGCTAAGCTGTTTTAAATAGATTACTGGTGTGTTTGATATTCATGATATTTAAATGGAAACTGCAGCTTGGAAACTCCCTATGTACTTAATTTGTTAAAAGACATTTCTTATGAACTTCATTATACTGACTGTCCCAAATGCAAAATTGGGTTAACAAACATCTTCAAAGTTCTGTGGCAGCAGTGTTTCATCTTTTATGATGTTTTTCTTTTCCTTTTTTAGACAAAAAATCAAGGTGAAATTAATTGTAGGACATTGAGATCAGTCTTTTCTGCTTGAAGCTAAAAGCCATACAGTAACTTGAGGGCATGTGCAGTACTTTATTTGACTGCTTTTGTTCTCCTTAGGCTTAAAAAAAGGAAATATCCCCAACCTAAGAGAGTATTCACTAGCCTAAATCTGTAGGTCCTATACTTCTTTGTGTCTTTCATGGCAGTGTGTGATCGAGAGAGGGGACACAATGGTACAGGGAGAAACAGTAATTGTAGGCTGCTGCACTTTGTCCTCACCTGGATAGTCCCTTGGGGCCAGCAGCAAGCTGACACGTTTGAGCAGCCCCTATAGCTATAGCCCCTCTAGGCTATTGCTGCAGTTGGCTCTGGATTGTCTGTGGCAGCCGACTGGAATAGGTGAATCATTATGTCCGAGGTGCGTAAGTAGGCTGAGGCACGGCCCATCTGGCTGCCATGCATCAGTATCCAGAGTCGATTTGTCTTTCCTTCCTCTGCTTTGCTGCAAGCAACCAGGGGGAAGCTGCTGAACATTTGGAGTTGCAAAGGGGAAGCAGCTGCGGAGAGCTCCAAGTTCCCAGAAGAGGTTCCCTGTGGGCTGTGGAAGGGTGGCATATGGGGAGCTGAAGCCGTATTCCCTTCCCTAGTGAGCAGGATGATTCAGGCATTGCAGTTAAAAACAATTGCATGACATTGTCAATAAAAACATTTTGCATAGGTAACAAACCGTTGTCTTTTTGTTTTGACACTCCGCACTTGAATGTTGTAACTTACAGAGCACAGAGATTACTGCAAACTCATTTGAAGTACGGGGCAGAAACGTGTGGATCTCCAAAGACAGAACCAGCTTGTTCTGTAGCAGCAGTTTGAACCACTGTGGTGTTAGGATCAGAGACTGGTTTGGGTTGGAAAGGACCTTAGGATCATCCAGTTCCAGCCCCATGCTGTGGGCAGGGACACCTCACACTAGACCATGTTACCAAAGGCTCTGTCCAACCTGGCCTTGAACACTGCCAGGGATGGGGCAGCCACAGCTTCTTGGGGCAACCCATTCCAGTGCCTCAGCACCCTCACAGGGAAGAGCTTCTTCCTTATATCTAATCTGAAGTTCCCCTGTTTCAGTTTGAGCCCATCACCCCTTATCCTATTACTACAGTTCCTGATGAAGAGTCCCTCTCCAGCGTCCAGCATCCGTTTCTGTTAGGAACAGAAAATGAACAAAAGCTGAAGAGATCAGAAAATGCTGAGAATCGACAGTGCAGAGATGGGGAGGGTTGATGAGGGGAAGTGGTGGTACAGGTAATGCTGTATAGGCTAAACTGTTTTCTTGTATATGGCACATGAAACTTCTCATTTTATGCAGAACATGTAACATAGAAGTAATGATTTATGGAGAATAAGCTGTCCTGATGTAAGGTAGTTATTCACTAGAGTACAATGAGACTCAGTCTCTTTTCCCTGAGGTTAGCTACTTCAACACAGTGCTTGCCACTAATGAGCATTCTTGCAGACAAAATCCATCTATTTTGTAAACTGGGTTGGCAATCATCTGTCTTTTTTAGCAATATGAACAGTTTTGATATCATTCTCCTCAGCCCCCTCTTTCATCATGCTGGTTTTCAATTGATTTTTAACAAATGTCTGACTTGGAATTTGCAAGTAGTCTTTTCCTGTATGTATTTTCTGGTTTGTTTTCACTGCCTCCTGTGTGTCATATTGCTCCATTTCTAGCGTTGCTGCAAGGCCAAGTGTCGTTTTCATAAGGTATTGACAATAACACATGCTAGAGAATCTTGAAGCTTGAATTTTCTATGGTTTCCAATAAAAGTGAGTTTGAAAGAGGGGCAGAGTGTTGTCATTAAGGGCACTGTGTTTTATTGTTAAGAGAACAGCACGGTTTCTTTTATGGTGATTTGGGTATTTCAGCATACTAAACAAGAGGGTCTCTTGACTGTGCAGTGTCTGTGCCTTTGTATTAACTATAGAGTTTGAGGTGACCAGCTCAGATGCACGTGTGTGAAGTTGGGTGACATGAAGTGAGAACAGTTGAAATACTTTGTTGTTGTGTAACACTAAGATAAAACTGACCTGCTTTTCCTCTGCAGCCAGATTGTTTGATCTCATTTTAATTCTCAGTTGTGAACACTTTTGGTGCTGGGAGAGTTTGGAATCCATTTGCAAGCATGAATTTTATAGACTACATGGTAGGGACCCTGAGGGTCTAAGAAAGCGGAGTCCTGTACTTTGCTGAAGAAGGTGACACTTGAAAACCTTACTTTAAATGTACAAATACATTGTGGTATTTTTCAGGGTGGAGATCTAGACTTCAAAATTCAAGAGTACAAAGAATCTGGGAAGATATTCACTCAAAGACAAATATTAGACTGGTTTATACAGCTGTTACTCGGAGTCAACTATATGCATGAAAGGTACAGTCATTTAATGTGAGATTTTAGCTTGGGAGGGGAGGGAGTAGACTTACCAACTAGTTGCAGATACTCAAACAGAAACGAAACTGTATGGATTGTCTTGTATTGGTATAAAGTCCTGTTCACCAAACTACATATGTGGTATATATATACACATATATAAAGTGTAGTCATACACCTAAAGTATAATTAATTGTCTATCCTGCAAGAGCACTATGTATTATGTCTTTTATCAGTGCAGTGGTAGGTGTCTTTCAGTGTTAGACACTTTTTTTCTAAGAGCCATGTGAAAAATTCAGCACAACAGAAATCATTAACTATTGTTAGAAGAAAATGGATTAAAAGGTTAAAATAAAGTCGTTTTTCAAGGGGGAGACAACAAGGATATCTTGCAGGTATTTAATGTGGAGGATCCAATTTATATGCTTGAGGTACTCCCAGTAAAATCAGTGAAGTTACATATATATGTTCTTTGAAAACAGACATCCCTTGACATCCCTTTAACAGCATATCAAAGATTAACCTGAATAATTACTGCAGGTCATCCGGACAGTGGTGTGTGGAATCACACTTGGTTTGAGCAGGGGCAGATACAGGTGAATACCTACCTGGTCATCTCTGTGAGCGTAGTTCTTGCCTGCAATCTGATTAGGGAGGCTGACTTCGGTGACTTAAACATTTCCTTCATAGTCAGGATATGCATGAACCCTCTTTTGTCCCCTTCCTGTGTAAAGTGCTGTCTCCTTTGAGGTAGGTGGGACTATTTAGCATGGTATGAGGGAGACTGTGTGCTGTGCTGAGCCAGGAACGGGCGGCCACCCACACTGAGATCTGGAGGAAGGGCTGGGTAAAGGGGTATACCAGACTCCTTTCCTACCAGCTTTTCCAAAGTTAACCCAGCTTTCAGCATCTCCTTTCCCCTGTCTCTTCCCTGTTGCTTTCCCCTATCAGCAGCTCTGAAATGTCATGTTAATAAACAAGACAGAGAATCCTTTCTGAAGAGCACTGTAGCCCCAAAGCTGAACTATTTGGACTATTATCCCTATTAAACTTTTAGAAATAAGAATGTCACTGCTGCAATGACTGCCTTAGCAGAGGCTAAGGATGGTTGTTGGTAATCACTGGCATGTATTGGCGAGATGAGCTAATCTGCCTAAAATAATCACTTAAATTATTAATACAGCCGGGGGAAAGAAGCTGTTTATGTTTGAAGGGCAGGTGACACCCACAGTCTGGAGATGAGCGTTCAGATTGTTTTCAAGCTGAATGTAAACCAGAATCCATAGTCGCCTATCCTGTGCGAGTATTGAGAAAACAAGATTGTGTTGAAAACACCAGCTTGGTTGTTGATAATAACAACCTTGCATTTGGATTAGATAATCACTGTAAGTCCCTTCCAATTGGAGTGTTCTATTCTATTGTATAAGTTATTCTTTTTGTCTTTCACTGTGACTGTTCTGTTCTATTGTACAAGTTATTCTTTTTGTCTTTCACTGTATTTCCTCATGCCTCTTTTGTCTTTTGTTCTCCCTTTTGTGTACTCTTTATTTGTTCTCATCTTCTACTTGCTTTCAAACCTTAAAATCTTACAAATGAACTTTCTCTGGTAAATACATGTATTCACTCACTGCATTTCCTGTAAAGTCATTAAATTCTCCATTAAGAGCATCTTGATCTTCCAAACAGCATTTAATCTTCGTTCCATGAACCATAGCTATTTATTAGCACCTTACCATTTACATACAGATGACTTCAGAGTTTTATTTACTTCTCCTGTATTGTATTTATTGTACTATGTGTTATTTGACTGTATGCTTATTAGAAAATTTAATCCTTATCTTATTAGTTTAGAGCCAAATAGTAGCTTAAATCATAGAATCATAGAACAGTTAGGGTTTGAAAGGACCTTGAGATCATCCAGTTCCAACCCCCCTGCCATGGGCAGGGACACCTCACACTAAACCATGTCACCCAAGGCTCTGTCCAACCTGGCCTTGAACACTGCCAGGGATGGAGCATTCACAACTTCCTTGGGCAGCCCATTCCAGTGCCTCAGCACCCTTACAGTAAAGAAAATGGAAAAGATTAGGCTTAAAAGAAATTAGAGTTACTGAAACATAACAACAGCCCTCCATGTCTAGAGGAGTCAGACTTGATTTCATTAGTGATATGGAGAAGAGCTGTAATATATGTTTGAACTATGTTCTAATGCAAAGAAAACTTTTCCCTAGAATTAGAAGCTTGAAGTGTTCATTACCCATAGGTTGGACTTCTTGTGCTGTTCTGTAGAAAACCCAGCTGCTGTGGATGGAAGTTTTAATGCCAGAGCAGCAAAAATTATTAGTTCTGGGTTTAGACATAGACCATTCACTTTGTGTCCTTCCTGCACAGCTTCAGCTGAGCTTCACTTGTTGAAAACTCTTGTGCTGGAAACTTATTTTAAAACCAGACATTTTTGCTGCTTCAGATTGTTTTTCTTTGCCTGTGATGGTAAAGATTATGCGGATTAAACATTCCAGACTTTTACTTGCTTCCTAAAGGGGGCATGAATATCTTCTGGTCATTAAGTTTAGATTGGATATAAGAAGAAGTTCTTTACTGTGAGGGTGGTGAGGCACTGGAATGGGTTGCCAAAGGAAGTTATGAGTGCTCCATCCCTGGTGGTGTTCAAGGCCAGGTTGGACAGAGCCTTGGGTGACATGGTTTAGTGTGAGGTGTCCCTGCCCATGGCATGCAGTTGGAACTGGATGTTCTTAAGGTCCTTTATAACCCTAATTATGCTCTATACTTAAACCTAAATTATATATCATTAAAATAGGTTAAATCCTCATCTGCCAGTGACATAACCAGAAAGAGGAGTCAATACAGTTTGGTGGTCTCATCTAGATGGAGGCAGCATGTAACCATCATTTAGTCTCTCTGGCATATTTGTACTCTATCACATATCAGAGCACAGAATTGATCCCACAACAATCAGGCAATGAGGCCATTGATTTATTGAACCTTAGTTTGAGTAAAGCTGACCATCCATCACTTTCCTAATCTTTATGAACAATTGTACAAACATGGAGAGCTTATGAAGTTACCATTAATTCAGACAATTCTGTTGCTTTCAATCTAGAGGGTAGCAGGCTTTGCACAAGTACTTCATCTGGATTTCACATTGTCTTCCCCAGTACAGGATTCAGACTTACTCAGAACTTGCTTCTCTAATTAGTTCTTCAGCTAGAGGAAAGAGAAATTAAGTGTTGAATATTTCACAGCAGTAAAGTGGTCAGCTTCACTCGCTGGTATGTTGCAGAGGAATCTTTATTCAAGAAGGCTGCCCACTGCTCACTGCTGCTATTCTATGACTATGAGACAGCAAGCAGAAACTCTATAGAAAGTAGGTATGGCTATATTTATAGCCCAAATTTGAAACTATCCTTAACTGTTAATTTCTACCCAAAATAACCACTCAATAACCACTTCACTGGCTGTCAAGTTAGATTAAAGTTTTCTGGAGCCCAGTGTATTCATGTTACCTTTATAGGCATGTCTTTTGCTACAAGAAAGAGTCGTGCTCTTTCTTAAACTGGATTTATTTATTTCTTACTAGGATATTTATTTCTTACTAGAATTAAAGTAGACGTTTAAGTTAAGGTTTCAGCTTGTAACTTGTTTATCTTTTGCCATACTGCATCCAGCTTTGGAGTCAGCAGTATATGAAAGACATGGACCTGTTGGAGAAAGTCTAGAGAAGGGTCACAAAAATGATCAGAGGGATGGAGCAGCTCTGTTGTGAGGAAAGGCTGAGAGAGTTGGGGTTGTTCAGCCTGAAGACAAGAAGATCCCAGGGAGAGCTTGTTGCAGCCTGTTAGTTCTTAAAAGGGGGCTATAAAAAAGATGGGGAGACACTTTATAGCGGGGTCTGTTGTGAGAGGGTGAGGGGTGATGGTTTTAAACTAAAAGAGGGAGATTCAGGCTGGATGTGAGGAAGAAATTCTTTATGATGAGGGTGATAAAACTGGCACAGGTTGCCCAGAGAGGAGGTGGATGAACCATCCCTGGAGATATTCAAGGCCAGGCTGGATGTGGTTCTGGGCAGCCTGATCTGGTTGAAGATGTCCCTGCTCATTGCAGGGGGTTGGACTGGATGAGCTTGGAAGGTCCCTTCCAACCCAGACTATGCTATGATTCTGTATGCTGGCAGAATAAAGTGGCTTGCATTGAGAGACATCATCATGGGAAGTTCCAAAGAATCACCGCAAGTATTGCTTAGTCATGTTAATATATGAAAGTATAATTATTGTTAATGCAAGTAATGTGTGTAACATTTTATTCAATATGATGCAAGCTTATATTGGCCTTACATTCTAATTCAAACTAATGTGAACCAAACATCATGTCTTGATCTTCTTATCAAATAACATCCTACTGAAAGCTTTCTGGATAATGGATATGTTTTATACTTCAAGATACCTGTTATTCAGATTACAGATATCCAAAAAACCTTTAGGTTTCAAGAGTCTGTGGTTATATTTCTACAAAGTAATAATACCAATAATAAAGGTTAAACCCCACCAATGCTTAACAAAAGCATGCAAGAAAAATCTAACTCGGTGAAGTCAAGGTCTTTCAAGGTTCTCTATGATGAATGGTAAGGAAAGAATGAATCTAAATTTACAGCCAGATTTGTGTAAAACTATGTGCGTAATATAGGCTTAAGAAATAATAATGAATATAACCTTGCTTTAATTTCCTTACTGATGTAATGCATGATAAGCATGCATGTATTGCTCAAGCAAGTTGCCAGATAGAGAACAAATTCTTTCTAAACATTGCCGGAGGCATGCTGAATAAAACTTTCCTTTTACCCCATGTGCAGACCTTTCTCTACAAGCATTACTTTCAGGCAGTAACAATAGTAAAAGCTAGAAAGATTGCCCTAAGAAGCATAAAGAACTCTTTTCTTTGACCCATAAAAATAGAAATGCTTGCTTTCCATGCTCTATGTGCATATTACAATGCCTTCTAGTTGTCATTTTTCATATTTTTTTTCCTGTTTGTGAACTATGTTGAATTTATTCTTTTTTTAAAATAGAATTTGAGATAATAATTGAGGATTCCTCCAGAACAACTTAAATCTATTATTATATTTGTTTTCCCTGCCCCCACCTCAAGAATCTTAGAGCATCAGTTGCTTTCTTTCCCTGTTATAAATAGGTGAATGACTACTGTGTTTGTACAAGTAAATACAGTTTCTGTAGCCAGTATGTACCAAATGCTATTCTAAACTCCTCCTGAGCAGAGCTGATAACCAACACTGTGTGTTACCAACACAGAAGTGGATGGGTTCTAGTTTAGTTGAGATGGTAGGGAAACCTTTTGGAAGAGTTATTGACAAGGATTAATTGAGAGCATGTTTTGTATCCTCTAGAGGTATTTTATTTTCCTAAGGGGCTGGAGAGTTACTGTCGCACATTAAGATTTAAAGGAATGGAGAAGATGCTGTTTGTCCCCACATGGTGCGTGGCTTATGATGTTGCTTCAGTCTTTAATGGAAAAATAAGTCTGTAAAAGCTGGTTGTCTTTTTCTTTTCGTTTGATCTGTCTTCGTTAAGTTTTTCTCTTCCACACCATTACTGTAAAAATTTGACCTACTGCCCTCCTCTATATACATATTTGTCTTGCAAGTAATACATTTTCTCTGAAGGAGAGTTCCTTGAATAAGAGAATCTCTTACTGCTGTTTTTTCTCACCCTTTATTCTATTGGGAGACATTTTATTCTCCTGACAGAGAATAAGATGTAATGCTTTTAAGAAGAGTCAGATAGGAAGACTTGCCTTTCTCCCTTTCTCTGCAGCTCATGTTAAGTCTGTGTCTGTATTCCTGGGATCCCTGTGTGCATTCTTATCCTGGCTGCTTAGGTTCTCATCCTGCATATGAGTGTCAGTGAATGCATCACTGTGTTGCTGTACCATCATCTGTGCATTGGCACTTACAGGGTTAGACTGCAGCAATGGTGGGCTGGCCTTCTTAACAAGGAACCAAGTTAAATACATGAGATATTTGATATGTGACTGTGAATGCTTCAAGTTGGGTGAGGTTGAATTTCCTTTTATATTCCAGGTGGATACTTCACAGAGATTTGAAAGCCAAGAATATATTTTTGAAAAATAACCTGCTTAAAATTGGTGAGATTTCAATATTTTTTAAAGATATATTTTAGTATGATTCCAGCAGGCGTTTTGTCAGTAAAGAGATTTAAATAAAGTCATATGTGACATAGGATTTTGATTTGTGGTTAAACATATATCTGAAGGGGGCCTATAAGGATGCTGGGGAGGGACTCTTCATTAGGAACTGTAGTGATAGGGCAAGGGGTAACGGGTTAAAACTTACTTAAACAGGGGAAGTTTAGATTGGATATAAGGAAGAAGTTCTTTACTGTGAGGGTGGTGAGGCACTGGAATGGGTTGCCCAAGGAAGTTGTGAATGCTCCATCCCTGGTGGTGCTCAAGGCCAGGTTGGACAAATCCTTGGGTGAGATGGTTTAGTGTGAGGTGTCCCTGCCCATGGCAGGGGGTTGGAACTGGATGATCTTAAGGTCCTTTCCAACCCTAAGTATTTTATGATTCTATGTGTTTGACAGGCAGACACAGGAACGTAGCCCCAGGGAGGTAGTGAAATCTCCACCTTTGAGGAAGCTTGGCTGGACCTGGACCTGAGCAGCCTCATGTAGCTTTGAAGTAGGCTGTGCTTGGAGCCAGGGGTTTGAAGCAGATAACCTTGTGGGGCCTTTTCAAATCTACGTAATTTTATAGTTCTATGATTTTGTGGTGTTTTCATTTTGAAGAATAACAGAAAAATGTATTACTATTTTTTAAAATAATGGCAGGTTTGGGGTTTTTTTATGCAGTTGTAACATGTCTAATAATAAACACAAAGAATAAGCATAGATTTATATTAACAGATTATTGTTTCTACTATTACTTTTAGGGGACTTTGGAGTTTCTTGTCTTTTGATGGGTTCATGTGATCTGGCAACTACATTTACTGGGACACCATACTACATGAGCCCAGAAGCACTGAAGCACCAGGGATATAACACAAAATCTGACATTTGGTGAGTACTCAGCATGCTGTTTTGGTTGTATTAGGCATTTCTTTTCTACGTCAGTATTTGATATTATTTAGGAGCTAAAATTATTCCACAACATTGTGATTTGAAGGTTTGCTCTTTGTATTAAGAAGCATGTAGGTTGGTACAATTCTGGGTTATCTAGGACTTCAAAGGGTCATAAGATTCAGGTCTAGTCTCTGCCATAACACAGGATGATTGTAGACCCAGTTTGGAAGGGGGAAATCTTTTTCTTCCTCATATTGAGACAGAGGCATGGAATGAAGCGATTTCTGTGAGGTTTTTAAGTGGATGGGGAAAGAGTGATTCCTGGTTGAGAGGGAAGCAGAAGGACCTCCTTAGGAACTGAACTGAAAAGCATTGGCAAATGTATAAAGGAAGATGGTACTTGAAAGGGGAGCTGAAAATGAGAATAAATGGAGTGTTAGGACAGAAGCAAAAAGGCTCAAAGGTAGAAAGAAAAGTGCCAGTTTTGCACTTGGATGGAACGAATTATTGGGATCAAGACTTCTGAAGTGATGATTAGATAATCCAGGTGCGAAGCTAAGATCTGTTGAAAGACTTCAGCAAACCTTCAGATATGCAGGTGTTCTTCCAAGCTAAGGTGAAGAATGATTTGCTTTTTGATTGGGGAAAACATCTGGCTTGTTTTTATGTGTGTCTTAAAAGATCTTGTGTTTTAAGATGGTAGCTAAAGCTCTGGTGTTCTTTAATTCTGTCCTAGTGTTCTTATATAAAGTGGGCTTTGTTTCTTCTCCAAAGAGGTGGCTTTTCCTGTAGATATGCAGGAAAAGGTTACTTTTCTATGAAAGATTCATGAGGAAGTTAAATTCAGAAGCATATTCCTCATGGACTCTGCAGTCATAGCAAAGGCATTCTGATGCGTTCAGAGTGAGAGATGTAAGTCACAAAGGTAGATGCATTTACAATATTTGCCTTTTGGAGTTCAATTTAAAATGATATCTTGGATCTTGCAGCTTTTGAAGAGCTATAACATAGTTTGGAAAGATCAATTAGCACCAAAAGCTTCAGGGTGCTTTCTGCTGAGGAGAAGCTGGAGGTCTGTCAGGCAATATTGTGGAGAGCCCATCCGGACACTCTGTTTTATGGTTTACTTGAGCATAAATAGCTTCAGTGTGGACTGGTCATAGATCCGTTCTGCTGAAGGGTTGTTTAGGGCCTCAGTCAAACCTATTCATGAATACAGGGAGCCATCAAACCAAATGTGCTGGTTGGATAGTTAATGTCCCTTTTAGAGTTTTATAACACTGGCAGTTACACAAACTAAGGTTATAAAAGCAATTGAACTACAGGTTTGGGTCATGTGCAGATTGATTATGAGAATCAGGAAGCAATTTTCTTTTGCTTCTTACGAGATGCTTAGGGCATAACTGTAGAAACACAGCCGAGAAAAGCAGCCTTTGAGGCAAGAGCTTGGTGGTAACTGCCTTGGGCAATTGCAGCTTTGCTCTGGGCTGCAGGGCAGCGTTTCTCAGTTTAGGAGGTGCTTGTTTAATTTCAGAGAACAGTATGCATCAGCAAAATCTTTATTCTTTTTCTCCCATTTTTCTTTTTTCCCCTTTATTTTTCTTCCATGGAGCAGATGGGGTTTTCCCTGGGTAGCCTGTTTACAGCCCTGGCTGCAGCAGAATGCCCTGGGTGTTCTTTTCTTCTTTCTCCAAAGCCTCAGGTGTAGTCAGAGTACTAAACCAGATGAATAAATAGGCTTCCCTGATGTGACAAATCCTGTGCTCCTAATGGCTCATTGAACGATTTCTAGCTGCCAGAATCAAGCAGCCTCCAAAACAGATTGATTCTACAAAGAGCAGTTACAGTGCAGTCTGTCAGATTGGGATTTTCCTTCCTTTTTTCTTCCCTCAGGCTGGTTTCCATTTTTGTTTGATGCTTTCAGATTCCATGTGTGCCGGGGTTTTTTCTTGTTCTTTTTTTGCTTGCAGGCATTTTCTCATGTAGTAATTATCTTAGAGTTTGAGCATATATCATAAATACAGATAGAATTGTAGAATCATAGAATGGTTTGGCTTAGAAAGGACCTTAAGATCATTCAGTTCCAACCCCCTGCTATGGGCAGGGATGCCTAACACTAGATCATGTCATCCAAGGCTCTGTCCAACCTGGCCTTGAACACTGCTAGGGATGGGGCAGCCACAGCTTCTCTGGGCACCCTGTGCCAGCGCCTCAACACCCTCACAGGGAAGAACTTCTGCCTTAGATCTAACCTGAACTTCCCCTGTTTCAGTTTGAACCCATCACCCCTTGTCCTACCACTACAGTCCATGATGAAAAGTCCCTCTCCAGCATCCCTGTAGCCCCCTTCAGACACTGGAAGCTGCTCTGAGGTCTCCACGCAGCTTCTCTTCTCCAGGCTGAACAGCCCCAATGTTCTCAGCCTGTCATCATATGGGAGGTGCTCCAGCCCCTGAGCATCCTTGTGGCCTCCTCTGGACTTGCTCCAACAGCTCCATGTCCTTCTTACGTTGGGAACACAAGATCATCATCTGTGCAGTCCTGTTTGCTGATTTTTGAAGTTTAAAAGCTACTTAACAGTTAATCTTTACAAAATCTTTTTACAAAAAAAAAAAAAGGGCAATTTTTGATGTCCTTCAATAGCTGACCTTTACAAAGCAGTTCTTAGCAAAAATGTCCTGCTAATTGTTTTCACATACTGTTTGAAAAGTACCAGTGAGTGAAACCTGCTGTTCTTTCTCTTCTTCTTTATTTGCATTGTATGTGGAGCTTGGATTTCCACTTTAAAATTATTTGCCCTTGTTCTTTTATCAGCAGACAGACAGAGTCAATTCCTCGTCTTCAACCCAAATGAATAATTGAAACTTTATTAATTATTTGTTTTCAAAGATAGTATTTATATCCTTTCCGTCAAAGCCATTCACCTATACGTACTTATCAGTATGCTTTGTTTTCATACTGCTTCTGTAAATTATAAATACCACAATCAAATCCTACATGAAGAGGAAAGTGGCTCTGATATTTAAGTTGGTCACTTTGATGAGTCTGGTCCTGTAGCTGGCTCTTACCAGCATTTTCTTTGACCTTGATCAAGTGCTTCAGTTCTCCTCACTTCCTAACTGGAAGTAACACTGAGCATCCTTCAAAGCCTGGAATCTCAACTCTCCTATGTTTTAAAAGCCATTTGTCAAACAGAACCCAGTTGAAATGCAGACTTTTATGAATAGTCACGATATAAATTATTATGAGAGTGTTTGTGTTAAGATGTTCATCTTGGTGGTCTTTTATGATCTCTGTTAGGACTGGCGAGTAAAAGCCTGGGGAATAAGGTGATGGTAAGCCAAAGACGCATTTAAGGTTCTTTGTGATCTTTCCTCCTGTTTTTTACTGATTTAAAGCTAACTGGTTCTTAGCTCAGTTTCCAGACCTGCATATTCAGATTTCTTCTTTTCTTCTCCAAATAAAATCTCACAGAAACTTGGTTTTAGATGTTGCAATCTGATGCTTTTATCTGAAAGTTCTATATCTGAGAGTAGACTCCTTCAAAACCTATTGTGAGTGTTTGGCTGAATGGGTGAAAGCACACCAGCAGACACTTCTCCTATTTGAAACTGGCAGTATTGAATACAAACTTGAATTTCAGCCTCAGTTTCTTACCAGAAATCAATTTGCAAAACCAGTTTAAACAAACCCATGTCCAAACACTACTGATCTTCTCAGCCAGTCACTAATTCTTAATTCAATGAGTAAGCACGTGAGATAGTTAATATGATAGGGTTTTGCTTTATTTTTACACGCACATATATATGGATATATATGGATATGTGTGTTTACATGCAGAATTTATGTACACTTACAGAAACAGAATGATGATATCTCCCATTTATAAAGTTACTAATTTATGATCTGAATAGAAATCTTTCAGATGGAAAGGATAGCACGATAATGAAATATCCTCTTCCTGGGAGAAGACAACTGTGATTTCCCTTTCTATGTCACTATGTCACCGTGCATGCTGCTTCCAAACATATTGCTTATACTCCTCCTGTTGTTTTATTCTTCAAGGTCTCTGGGATGCATTTTGTATGAGATGTGCTGTATGAACCATGCCTTCACTGGGCACAACTTTTTGTCTGTGGTGTTCAAGATTGTAGAGGGTGATACCCCTTCTCTTCCTGATAGATACCCGAGCAAGCTGAATGCTGTGCTGTGCAGGTACGTGGTTCTCTTTTCATAGCACTTTTCAATGTAAACTTGGAAAACCACATAACGATGACTTTTGGTTTTTAACATTTCAGCATGTTAAATAAGGACCCTTCTTTGAGACCAACAGCAGCAGAGATGCTTCAAATCCCCTTTATTGATGAACAACTAAAGGTATATAAGAAAAAGCTTCAGCCACATACTGTTGGAGTGTGTATTGTGCAAAAGCAGAATAGAGGCAGAGTGAACGTGTTGAGGGGAACAAAGTGAGATAGGAGTTCATGGGAACATTAATCAGGGGGAATTCCAGAGCTAAATTGCAAATATGCCTGAGGTAGTGAGGCGGTGAGAAAGGAAGACCTTGTCATTTTGCATCCTGAATGAATCCCTTTATAAATGTTGTAAGCAATAAGGAGAATGGGCATTTATGTGTAACAAGCACAGATCATTTGGGCCTGGGTATATATAGCCTCTAAACTGTTCTGGTTAGTCCTAGTTTTAACAAAAAACAGCATCTTGCTCTTGTGGCCCCTGCTTCAGTGTATATATTGTTTGGTGTTCTGAGAAGGAGGGGAAGGAAACTGCTCAGTCAGTTTTTGCATTACAACTGCACTGGGTCATCGCTGAAGAATCCGGATCACTTCAGCCTCAGGTGTTGACACCAGCGCTATCTTATTTCCTTGCAGAGTATGCAGTTCACAAACATGGCTGTGAAAAACAAGGCACTTGACTGGCAGAAAGAAGCTGCTCCCATTTTTGATGCTGTGTAAGTATTTTTAACTGTTTTATGGACATCAGAATACCGAATCACAGAATGGTTTGGGTTCAAAAGGAACTTAAGACCACCCAGTTCCAGCCTCCTGCCACAAGCAGGGATACCTCACACCAGACCAGGTTGCTTCAAGCCCCTGTGTCCAACCTGGCCTTGAACACTGCCAGGGATGGGGCAGCCACAGCTTCTCTGGGCACCCTGTGCCAGTGCCTCAGCACCCTCACAGGGAAGAACTTCTTCCTTATATCTAACTTGAGTTTCCCTTGTTTCAGTTTGAACCCATCACCCCTTGTCCTATCACTGCAGTCCCTGATGAAGAGTCCCTCTCCAGCATCCTTGTAGCCCCCTTCAGACACTGGAAGCTGCTCTGAGGTCTCCATGCAGCTTCTCTTTTCCAGGCTGAACAGCCCCACGTTCTCAGCCTGTCTCCATATGGGAGGTGCTCCAGGCCCCTAAGCATCCTCGTGGCCTCCTCTGGACTTGCTCCAACAACTCCATGTCCTTCTTATGCTGAGGACACCAGAGCTCCACACAGTGCTGCAAGTGGGGTCTCAAGAGAGCAGAGCAGAGGGGCAGGATCACCTCCCTTGACCTGCTGCTCACGCTGCTGGTTATCAGCTCAGTATATGGTCTGTATATACACACTATGTATAAAAGTACAGTCTTGCCAAATATTATAATGTTGTAACCACTTGTGTTGTTCTCATAGTGCTTAATATTTAGAGGAATCCATTCCTCAGAAATACAGAGGAGCCATCACATTAATGAGATGCATGATTAAGATTCAGGGAGGAACAAGAGGATTTGCAAATCAAGTATTTTTATTATACAACAGTGTAAATTGTACATGCATGTAGTATATGCACACAATAATTTAATACTCATTGGCATGTAAATTATGACCTTTGTCTTCACATTTTGAAAGTTTAAATCATCATTTTAGTATGTCATGATAAATTATAGTGCTGCTGTTTGTATAACTACTAATTATTAAGTGTGAAACCTATGATTCCTAAATGACATTAAACTGAAAGCATTTGCACTTAAACTAATATTCAGCTCATATGTCTGTAGGGTACTATTATATTATCTTGCAACTACTGTGAGAAACTTAAGACTAGCGATGTTTCTTGCCTCTTACACCAGCAATGCCTTTGCACATGATTGCTCTTTTAGGCACCGAATATATATGAGAAAAATGAATTGCATTAGATTTCAGTGCTGCACTGAAATGAAAGCAAATGTCAGCATGGGCAGCTTCATTTTGCCTTTGTAAATGAGCTCTGCAGTTTCGATGGCAGCTCACCCTCCCCTTTGCTTCCTGCCCCTGAGTTTTCTGTATATGCTTTGCTCTGTTAGAAGCTAGCACGCTCAGTATCAGGAGTCTGTGGTCCTGCGTGGACACACTGGGTATCCCTGTTTCTTCTTTCCTAAATAGCTGCCAAGACTTTAACAGTGTTTTTTTTTGTGACCTCTGCTCTTGGAGAGGACCCACAGTTTTGTGGCTGTGGTCACTTTGTAGGTGTTGCCAACTCTGCTGCTCGCAAGCATCCCTTTGGGAGAGGTGACCAACTTCAGCTTTTCCAAGGTGTAATTTATGGGCTTCAGCTGTTTCCAAGGTGTTTCCTATCGGTTGTACAAAAAAAGCAGAGCAAAGACAGTGTAATTCTACACAGCAAAATCTTCTGTCCATCTTTTTCACCCAGTGTAACTACGGGAGTGCATCTGTAAAGCTCTTATCTCTAGAAATTGTGGTTTGGGTTTCCACCCTGTCACTTCTTGCTCTCTTTTATTTGTGTCCCTGTCTTTTTATTAGTCCAAAGTTCTACAGTTTGATATAAAGAACTACCTTTAATATCAATAGGTTCTTGAACTTTGCAAGCATAAAATTAAAATGCAGCAAGAAATGATACCTGAACTGTCTAGTAGCAACTATCTAATAAATAACAGCAAGTGGAGCTAGCAGAGACTGCTATCAAGTTTTTGGCCTTACTGATGCTCTGCTAGAAGTAACCATTTGCTAATATACTGGAAATAGAGTCAGCCAGGTAGATATGCAATAGCCAGGAAGTATTAGATGTATCATTTGTCTATGGCTGCTGTATTCAAGTTGATTCAATTAATTTTGCACAGATTCCTGTCTCTTCAAATTGAGTATAGTTAGCTGCAGAGATGTTCCTTGGAGATATACCTTAAATAGTCTGGGGGCACTGAAATGTTGCCCAAATATTATGCCAATTTGTCGGGATCTGTTGTTGGAGTCGCGGGAGACAAGCCTCATGCTCTCATGGTCAGAAAGTCTCGTTTATTGATTGCAATACATCGATATTTATAGGTCATACAATCAAGTACATATCTATGCGAAGTTACACAATACGCAAGCTTATTGGCTCAAACTTTGGTGGTCGTTAGCAGCTGTTGCCACATCAGCAAGTAGCCGTTAACGATGCGCTATTTCAGCAGGATATGTATCCTGTTTCTTTGTTTCTTGAGTAACCGTTATCTGCAAGGTCGTTGTGCCCTGAGGCCTAGAGCTCAACTACTTGCACAGTATCATGGCCTTTGCTACTTAGCCATTCTGCTGTTAGGCTCTCAACACCAATTCTGTCTGAATTATATTGGGTATTTAATGCCTATTGAAACGTGAATTTTAGTCCATACCTTTATTTTGTGGGTACAAGATTTCATGTTCTCTCTTTGAGGAAGCAGTTATTTTTACCTGCAAAACACATACACAGGCTTCTACAACAGTCTGATAAAGCCACTTTCTATTATTTGTAACATAAGCTATGTTCCATATCTGGTCCATTGTCATTAGTTTGAATGGATTGAGTCCAGATGCACATCATGTATTGACAGGACATTCATGTGTATCCTAGAATCTATATCTGTTCTTATTTAAAAGTAAGTCTGTGGTCTCTAAGATGAAGAGCAAGTTCAGACTGCAAACATCATGTTCTTATACACGTGCTAAAAGGAAATAGAAAGCCAGCGTCTTCCATGCAGAGGTTCAGAGTTCCTAATAATTGTGGCGCAATGGATGACAACTGGTTTTGTTTGAGCATGGAAATTTACCTTGAAGTTTTCAAATTCAGGGCATCAATTTGACCAAAAAATAATATCCTAGGAGAAGCTTCACTGTAAATTACCTTCAGATGTGTTCCAGTCTGAGTATTTTTGGCAAAATGTTTGGAATATGCATTAAGTCATTGTCTTATGACTTTCATTGTATTTGTGAGAATGCTACCTTTTTGTATGGCTACTGGTAAGCAAAATGCCAAATAATGGCTGCGATCCCAGCTCCAAAGAGGAAGGCAAATGAAATTAAAGTGCCTCAGAAATGCTAGAGAGCAGAAAATGGGAGGAGAAATAACATGAACATAGTGAATTTCCCACATCTGCTGTAATGAAGCAATACTGCAGTCTGAGTGAGTGTACAAGGAGCTGCTTCTTATGGTGTACTCCTTAATCATTACTACTTTATATTTATGAGTCTTCTTTTCTTTCCAGGAAGTATTTTTTGCCATGTATAGTTGAACCTACTTTCTTCTGGTAAAGGCCTCTAATGGATTCCTTTATTCCAGTCCCATGCAAGTCATGCATTTTGAATAATGAAGGATAAAACTGTACAAGTTCAGTTTCGACTTGGATGCAAAATAGGTTTTTCCCCCAAGAGATTTTTATAATTTAAATCAGATTTTTTTTTTATAGGGGACAAGAAATATGTCTACATTATTCATACTTGAAGACTTGGTTCCATACTTATGAATAATTGAACTCGTCTGTGTCCTTAGCCTTTCATATTTCACACTAATATTCACATCTTTGCACTATTTCCCTCTATAGTCAGCATTTGAAAAACATAATGAGAACTTCTCATTTATTAAAATCCCGATTTCAGAATGATAGTCCACAAGGAGTGGTACAATTTGTGTGGTAACAAAACTGGGCTCTTAGATGATCAGAAGCGAATTTAGCTCAGAAGAGCAAAAATAGTAACTTGAAATGAATACTTGGTATCATAAATACATGGTATAATAAATACATATTGGTGTAAGGGAAACATGACTGTTGAGGCTTTTCAAACTATGGTTTAAGTTATGTAATAACTGCAGGATGAGAGATAAAAATCTGAGATTAATATCCATCTTCCGATACAGGACTCTCCTCTGTTGATAAATGCAGCTGAGATACATATGCCAGTAATTCATGCTCAGGTTTCAGAGATGGTCTATGGAGACCATTTTACCGATGAATTATTACTGATCAGGAGCAGAAATTCAAGAGGCCAACATGATAATTAAATCTGTCATGAAAGACACACTGATGTTCTCTTCTTTGCTAGACAGCTTGTAACGGTCAATGTAAAATGTATGGGTTATGTTGGCTTTTTCTGTGGTTCTCATTTAAAGACTGCCTTTGTACTTGGAATATGCTCAGTAATGAAGCCTGACAGGGTAAATATTTCATTGTGCTTCAACATTTATTCTTTCCAGGAGCTGAGTTTATTTTTTTTGCCATTTTCACCTGAGATGCCTGAACTGATTCATGCTCTTCATGTGTTTCAGTTTAAATTCATCTGAACAGAGACATTTGCTTTCCAAACGAAAGCCTATTTAATCTGTTCTAGAACCTGTGGATTTCTAATTATTCCAGTTGAAATGTCAACTATGTTTCAATACCAAATCAAAGTAATGATATTTACAGTTTTATATTAAGGTGTGCTTGCATGTATTCAATTCCAGGCAGAGGAAAGTTCATCTGCAAACTCTGCAGGATCTGTCTGAAGTACAGAAGATGACACCACGGGAACGCATGAGGCTGAGGAAGTTAAATGCTGCTGATGAGAAAGCAAAGAAGTTGAAGTAAGTTGAGCGTATCGCTTGCATTGTGCCCTAGCCATGCACTTTACCCATCCAACAGCCTAAGCAGACAGTAGAATTGTCAAGGCAAGAACAGAAATAGAAAAGGTCTTTAGCTGTTCAAAGTGAATGGGGATTTTTGGAAGAGTTAAAGAATTTTATGTAATAAAAAAGTCAGAACATTAGCCCAAAACTGAAATTGAGCATTGTGTTTCTGGTTAAATAAATATATGAGAGATCTTTAGATGTGTTACAATAGGTGACTTTTTCTTAACTACTTGCCATTTTAAGGATTGCACAATTAGAGGAGCTGGACATTCTGTTACAATCCAGCTTTTGTCAGTTGATTTGGCCAAAGAGATTTGCCAACAGAATAGCTCAGAGGATAGTCTTGTTAGATGGGCAGAAGACTGTATTGGACATGTTATAAAGGCTTTATGATTTATGTTTTTTAATTGAGTAATACATAATAAAAGGGGAGATTTGGAGGAGAATAAGTACCATTTCTGAGTGGAATCTGAGAAAGGGGTGGAAAGCTACATGTCTATGCATGGATTCTTTTTCTAAATGGAGAGAACAATATGCTGGTTTGATGACACACTTGACATTTCACAGTTAGAAGTATACAGTGTTTTATTTGGTATGAATGAAAATGGGAAAAGCACCACATTAATTTTTAATGGTTTCTTCAAAAGCATTTTTGCAGACTGCAATGTAAATGAACAAATGTTTACTTATTCATAGAGGGTAATAGAGGGAATACTTAATTTTGATTGCAAAAATCAGCATCTTAACCCTGTCGTGCCAAAGCCAGTCATCAGTTCAGTAAAGCAATGATGTCCTAGTAAAGAAGAACATTGTCAGGTGACATGAAGTCTAAACTTACAGCCTCAGGAACTCTGCAGCTACATAGGCCTGCAATCAAAAGTAACCGCAGTTCAGCAGAAATGCTCTGTAAAATCACATCTGAGAATTACTTGTGCCAACTTGTGATGTCCGTACCCAAAATTACAAACAGAAGAACTAAAGGCGTGAATTTCCCTTTGGAAAATACCAGTGGTCTGATGAGCATTTATGTTTGTCTGTCCCTCTGACACTTACTATTGCATTTGATGCTGGAGATGCTATGTAAATTTATTCTCATTTAAAAGAAGTCTTCTTGAATTGAAACCACTGTCTGAAAAGTATTAAATTCAACACCTCTTCTGCATGGTGTTTTCAGTAATGTGGTAGGCAAATTTTGGTACTTATATGAATTTTGTAAATAGGAAGTCTGTCTCACTTTTTGCAAATGGAGTTCTAGTTTGCTTTGCATTTTCTTTGGTTTCTTGCATTTTAATGTGTTCTAGTTAGATTTTTTCCCCAGAAAAAAAATGAATATATGTATTTTGTAATATAAAGGCAACGTATTAATCTTCAAACCTTGTTCTGAGTCGTGAACCTTTAAAATGGATCTATGTTTAGCTCTGGGTTATTGCCATCTGACTCGGCTGACAACATTTGAAACACACTTCTCTGACTGGAGATCTGCTTTCAGCAGTGCAAATCTAGAGATGGATGGGAAGAAAGTATAGTAATGGAAACTGGAAGAGCTGCTTAACATAGCACCTAGCTTAAGTCGTCCCAACAGTTGCCAACTCTTCCCCAGGTGAAGTGTTCATAGAACATAAATGTTGCATGCCTTTTGTTCACCTGAAAGGTCCCTAAATGGTGAAATAAGGTCCAAAGAATTTAAAAGCTTTGGAAGGACCAAAAAAGACTGGGACTAATAATTTACTATTTCTCAATAATATTATGCAAGTTGTGAAAGAAAAATATAATAGTGTTTTGGAATTAAGGCCTGAAAAAAGTAACCTCAAGACGATTAGATGCCATGAACATTTGGCACCATGGGAGTCTGATTATGGAATTTGGTTTTCCACAACTACATTCAGAAGTTCCCTTTGTCCACTCCCTGATACCACATCCTAACCAGAAGTATCTTGGATTTACAGACAGCTGGCAGAGGAAAAATATCAAGAAAATATGAAGAAAATGCAAGAATTCAGGTCCCGTAATTTTCAGCAGCTGAATGTTGATGTCCTACGTGTAAGTAATGGGCTATTGCTTTGGAAGCCTTGTTTACGCACATTCGGTGTACAATACTTCTCTGTTTCCCACATGCTTTCTTTAGCACTAGAGGCAGAGTCCTGTTCTGAGACTAATCATTTGGAAGTGCATCAAAGTCGGGACCACAAGGTACACTGGCTGTACCTTGTGGGTCTGTGATGAGGGAAAGTACATTCACTTGTTCGGATATGGTTTGACATACTCTGTATTCATTGCTCAATTTTGTGTTATTAAGTCACCCTTGAATCTAAATCTGCTGTCTGGTATGGACTCACTTAGAGTCTGTATGATACCAGAGGTCAAAATACGTTCATTTTCAACATAAGTTTAGAATTGTAATCCTTTAAACACTGTAATTTGGCAGGGCTGTGGGTTCTTTTCATTTGATTAGTTGAGAATATTAACATTTCAACTGGCTTTTTATTAAGAATGAAGTCTTGGAATGACTCCCAGTGTAAGCTTTAAGCTATCTCTAACAGAAGACAGGCCTGTTCAATTGTACCACTACATTTTATCACAGAGAACAGTGTCAGTTTGGAAATACTCAGTGAAAGCATCAGAGAAATAATGTGATTTTATGTAGTTGTTTTTTTTCTCCTACCTCTTCTTTCATATTCACTCTAGCTTCTATTTACCATTGTGTTTGGAGAAAATAGTATGTTCAATGTGTCCCTGCTATATGGCTGAGTCAGTATTGATCTCAATACAGGTCGCAGCTATTGTGTAGATCAGGGCAACCACTATATTGTGATCCTGCTGAAAGCTCTAACTCTACCTATTTCTCCATGCTGCTTCATTTGACTAAGGAATCTGGTGGGCAGACTTCAAAACCTCCAATTCATTCTCAACCAGCCACTACATGTGACTATGCATTCACAAGGCATGATGAACCAAGTGGAAATGGGTCAAGTCAACTCTGCGCGTCTGAATTTGCAGACCATGGTAAGAATCCCAAATTTGATGTTGAAATAGAACTTCCTATCATGAGATATGCTGACTTGGAAAGAAATAGCTTTAACTTTACACATATGAAATGACCTGTGTTAGAAGAGCATTTCCTGAATCATCTCTTCAGTGCAAAAATGAGGAGAAGAATTCAGAGCATTAGCACCTTTGATACACCTCGATTCCATTTGCTTTATCTGTAACGATGAGAGAAGCAGATGGAAACTCTGAACAGTGCATATTGATACTGTCATCAAATACCTATTGTCTAAAGAGTATGAAGTTCTGTATAACATGTACTTTTCTCTAGATAGATGACCAGATAGTCAAGCTTTTCAAAAAGGGTCAGGAAAATCTCTTTAGGAGCACATTTGCAAGTGTTGTTTCTACAGTGTTCTGGAATAGTGTCATACCCTCAAATACTTAAGAACCATCGTGGAAGCATTATATTGGTGAAACACTTTTAATCAGGTTAGAATCTTGCAAGAACGCATTAATATACTTGGAAGTATGAAAACTACTTTTGTGACTAGCTCTGCCTTTAGTGTTGGTTTAAGCACATCTGTGATGGTATATGTGAATAAATACAAGGCATCAACATTAGTTTGTGGTGGAGGTGGGGCTTTTTAGTAGCAAATGTCTTTTTCTTTCACTATAATCTCGTTTACGTCTATTGGGTTGGCTTGATATTCCACAGTATAAGGAAGGATGACCTGTGTAGGAGAGAACCCAGCTGCTAGAAATACATCCTAAGGGGAAGATGGATGTATTTCAATTGCTTGCAAATAGAGGACCAAGAGAAAGCAGTAAATGTGGGTGGGAGATGTACCAGATACCTAAACAAAGATACCTAAATAGAAACAGAAAAACATGCATGAAAAGAAATAAACTGATGTTTCTGCCTTTAGAGGTCATTAAGCTGTTAAACCATAATGACAGAAATTAGATGCATTTATATTTGTGATGCAGAAGCTGGGTCAATCCATTGTATGAAACTGAATGTATGTTTTAAGTGCTTTTGCCAAAGCCTCTGACATTGAAGTGGTGGGCTCATGGCAGAAAAGCATTATGGATAGGCAGAAGAAATTACATGGTTTCTCTTTGCTTTGTGAATAACTTGTTATTCCTGAAACTGACGTCAAAGCTGTTACTTATACTATTCAGTACTCACACTCTTATCTTTAAACATTTCAGTGCAATCATGCATGTCCATCAACTTCATCAGGGACTAGTGATAGGACAAGGAGTGATGGGTTCAAACTGAAACAAGGGAAACTCAAGTTAGATATAAGGAAGATGTTCTTCCCAGAGAAGAGCTGTGCCCAGAGAAGCTGTGGCTGCCTCATCCCTGGCAGTGTTCAAGGCCAGGTTGGACAGAGCTTGGAGCAACCTGGTCTAGTGTGAGGTGTCCCTGCCCGTGGCAGAGGGTTGGGACTGGATGATCTTAAGGTCCTTTCCAACCCAACCCATTCTATGATTCTAAAATAAGGAACTAGTGATAGGACAAGAGGAAACGGCCTCAAGCTGCACCAGGGCAGGTTTAGATGGCACTGAGGAACAATTCCTTCCCCAGAGGGTGCTCAGGCATTGGAACAGGCTGCCCAGGGCAGGGCTGCAGTCACCGTCCCTGCAAGTGTTCACACAGCGTGGAGACGAGGCCTCAGTGCCATGGGTTAGTGGTGGCCTTGGCAGTGCTGGGAATGGTTGGACTGAGTGAGCTTAAAGGGCTTTTCCAGCCTGGTTGATTCTGTCATTCTGTGTTTGTGTGTAGGAAGAGGTCAAGTTGAAGGGGCAAAATAAGATGACTACTCGTGGGTTTTAAATTCTTTTTACAGAAGAAGAATGTGAAAATCAAGGGCAGGTCATTTAGAGGGGCATATTATGTGACCTCTCCCATCTGTGTTATATTCCTTTTTATTTCTATATACTGCAAAGGTGATAACACGTTAAATCCCTTACCTTAGTATGTTCCAATCCATTATACCTGGCAAACCCCAGATTTCATTACAATTCCGAAAAAGCTAACTACATTCCGATAAATGCATGCATTCTTTCTATATTTCCATTGCTAATTGTAAGTTATGGGTATACCGCTTTGAATTTCAAGTGTGCAAAGTTCATTTGACTCTCAAATAGGAAAAGTTCACTCATTATAGAATATTGTGGGTTTTTTCTTCTACTCTGCTGCTTTTTTTACAAGTTTCATTGGCAGATTTTCAAGGTATTTTGGTAAATCTGTGGAAGGTTAAAAGCCTGCAATATTTCTGAGCACATGTTTAAGCATCTCTGCACACACTGATGTTGCTTAGTGCCTCTAAAACAGTACTTACGCATACTGACTGGGTAGCAGAGTAACACTCCAAAATACAGTCATACAAGCAATCACCACCCAAGGCCTTTAGGAAAACCATGTCTTGTTCTATGTTTCAGTCTGGCAAGTCAAAATAGAAGAGAGTAATAATAAGTGGTGTTAAGCAACTTGCTGCATTATTCTTGTTCCAGTATCCTTTGTAACCAGGAAGACTTGGCTTAATTAAGAAGACAGTGTTGGAGTGACTTCTACTGCAGTTTATGCACTGGTCTCTTATGTGGTTATCCTGCTTCCAGGATCATAAGGCATATTCCCTAACTTACTACTTGCTGAAATGATATTATGGGATGTTTGCGAAGAGGAGCTTGCCTGTTTAGTTCTAGCATTTGCAGTTACCAGTCCTTCACTCACCCTTGGCACGTGGGATGACGAGAGGGTGCCAGTGTGCCCCTGTGACCTGCTCATCACTCCCTGGGTTTCATTGCTCGGTTTCCCACTGAGATCCAACCTTGTCCCAGGTTCAGTTAAAGGAATGATAAGTCTGATTTAATCTAGCAAGAGCAAGGTTTAACAGAGGTTGCAAGGTTTAGCCACGAAGGGGAAAATAAAACAATGACTTCTCCACTTCTCCTCACCACCCTCCTTTTTTTTATTTGACTGAAGCTTTATTCTTCTTGTTCAAGGAATTGTTCCCTAGAATTGTTGCCTTTGGGAAGCTTATTTGGCTGCGTGGCTGCGTGGAGACTTCTTCTGGGGAGCTGGGCCAAATTATGGTGACATGGGAAGCTGGAGCCAATTCCAACTGAGGGATAATTTGCTCAGAAAGCAGCTGTAAATACTGAATTAGGTTGCAGTTTCTACTAGCTGAGCTTGCAGTCCATGTGACTGTCAGGCAACTGGCTGGAGGAAATGAGAGAGCGACCTCAGTGAAGAGGTTTATGTTCTCCTGGCTATTTTAGCTGTGCCACAGAGCAAAGTGTGCCCCTGCAATGTAGTAAATATGTTGGCTTTCACCACTTCATTTCATCTAGGTGTTTAAGGTCTCAATACCTTTTCCCTGGGTTCGCTTGGTTGCAAGCATTCACTTGTTTCTGTACTTGGTCAACATATAACTTATATTACTGCTTACATCTAAATTAAATGCATTTCACGTCCTTGGTACAACCAGACTCACAGCTGCTTGCGCCAGTTTGGATCCGAACCTTTCCTATTTTTTTTCTACTCTTTCAATAACTCCCAGTTGTAAAAATAATCCTCAATCTATGTCTTAAAACTGGCATTTCTTGAAGTGAATCTTGAGGAGAAGAAAATGACCATCTTTTCGCATTAACACATGGGCTCTTTACTTCCTAATGCTGTCATCAGCCTGAGAGGGAAAGCCTCAGGCAGTCTCACCCAGATTCAGCAGGAAAACGGAGATTGAAAGGATGCTCTGAATGATCAAAACATAGAGTAAGAACTCAAGAGCTACCTCCAGAACTGATGGCATAAGGTAGCTTCATGGTAAGTTTTCCTTTAATTTACAGCTCTTGCTCTGTTCCTGCTGGAAACTGGGCAAATAATAGGGCAACCTTTACAATAACAGGGCCTCATTGTGCATAAAGGAAATGGCTCCCATGGCTCACTAAATACTCCCTGTTATTGACTACATCACTATCTTGTTCTTTCTCTTCATCCGTCCATTGGTAATAAAAGAATTTCTGGGTATTTGGAAAACGTTTTGATTTGCTGGACTTTAAATTGTGCTTGAAAGGCAGCACGGCTTCATTTTCATCGTCACTGCCTGCCAGAGCTCCCCTATCTGTATACATGACAACTAGAAAATCAGGAGGAACCCCTTCCCCAGGAGACAGAGAAAACAAACCACTCAGAAAATCAGGGAAAATATGTTCTTTCTGGCTGCTCATTTTTGTTAACAACGCCTTTTAGCAGCTCCTTTCTCCCTCTCATGCTTTGTCTCTGTACATACTAATAAAATACCCGAAGGTGGAAGGTTTGGGGAAAAGAGCTGTGTCTTTAAAATAAAACATTTTTCTTGGAAATTTGATTTTTCCTTGGAAAAAACCCATTTAGAATCTAGCTAATTCCTTTCTAACATCAAGTAGTAGAAGATCCTCATAAGGCTGCCCTGACTTCCATCCTCTGTATCTCTGTTTTTCTGGACATCTCACAGTAGGTAAATCATCACTCCGTGAAGCCCACTGGTGAAATGAAGCCTTTTTCTTTTTTGAATGCTAAAAGGAGAATTATAAAGTATTAATGTTAAACTTTGGTTGTATTCCTAGTTCTCATTTAGAACAGCCCCTTTCACTTTATGTCAATGCAGTACATGGCCATGTGAGAAGGTACTTCTTTTAATGACTTCATAGTTCTTTTGTGCTTAGCAGAAAGGATTGTCCTGGATTTTCCTGGGCATGGAAGTGCTGTTACATGCATTAGTTAATTCATTAAGTACATTTTCTGAGAGTCTTTTTCAGCTTAGCTTCAACGAGCCAGACAAAAGCTTTCACTGACTTCTTGTTGAAGGTGTCAGAGCTTAAAAATGCATTTCTCTCCTATAGTTGACCAAAGGATGGTCATTCTCTTTGATGGTTTTTGTCCTGCACTGGGAGAAAAACCTAAACCAATCTGAGTAAGCTTAAGTTATAATAATGGAGTTATCTGATTTTTCCTAATCATATGAGTATTGGCCTGAACTGCAGAGGGGCACAGAGCCCTTGGTCTCCTTTGCAGTGCCAATTTCTCATTCAGGATGAGGTAGCTCTGGGAATCATGCCTATGTTTCCAACCTCTCTCCTAGTGACAGTGCTTCGGTCGAAGGCAGAAATCCCTGTCTTTTTCCTCCCTCTGTGATAATGGATGCACTGCTCTGAAGAATGCTGGTCAGCCCTGTTCACCTCCTGCTTTTGCCTGTGGCTTGTGAGAATGTGTACGCATTGCAGGGACATACAGAAACAAGCACGTTTCTGCTAACCTTTTGAGTGTGTATGTCGGATATGTGCACACCCAAATAGACCTGGGATAATTCTAAGCAGTTTGTTTGCAAAGCATCATGTAACCACAGAAACATAAGATAACTGAGGTCGGAAGGGAGTGCTGGCAGTCTAGTCCAACCCCCTGCAGTTGCAGATGCGGAAAAGGAATGCTTTGCTCTGCTCCTGCCTCATTCCCCAACATGGCTCATGTACAAAGCCATGCAGGGGGGCAGTGCAGCTTGTGTCCTGCCCATCTTTCTTGACTTCTCAAGCTCCCTGTAGCAGTGTGTGGTAGCAGAGCTGTGGTAGTGATGCTTTTTAGTGTCTTGGTTCATGTCGCCATAACACTGAGAGTGCATTGTCTTATGACAGTATATGTTTGTCAGAGCAGTTGAATGATCTGCTCCTCACATTGCTGTCTGTAGCAGTGTGCAGACTAAGGAGTGCAGCTACATGGAATTAGAGGATTCCTTTAGATGGGAAAGTGCCAGCTGAGAAAATCTGCCTTTTCCAGAGATGTGATGAAGCCTTGGGATTAGAAAAGCACAATAGACCTTGAAAGCCAAGTTTTACTTTGTTTCTGTGAATACAAATGGTGAAAATGAGTATATACCATACCATTCTGTTTTCCTTTTTCTTCTTTTCCCTTTCTTAAGTAAAAGAGGCCCTACTTACTGTCTTCTGCATGCACTGCAATATGAGAATGCTGCATCAATGCATCAGTTATACATATGGCTTCAAGGCAAGAGAAAATTAAAGATATTTATCAAAGCATTTTCATGTCATTGCCAGGTTGCCATGCTACCTGAAACAAGCTTTTGGTGGGTTTAAGCAAAATCTTGCAAGTATCACGTTCCTTTGTTTTCTGCATAGCTTGTCTTCTTGGGAAATAACTGTGCATTTATGGTGTTTTTAAATAATGGGGTTTTATCTTTCCTTCCACTGTTAGCATCGTGTTCATATAGAAAGGAATCTAAAGGGAATGTTATTGTTCAAAGCTTCTTTTCTCTCCAATATCTAACGTCAAGTGTCTCGGTGCTATACCACCAAGCAAGGCAGAAGCAATAGCTGGGCTTGCTCTGAATGAAGTGCTATGGAAGGAAATAAAAGGTACTGTGTCTGGCTTTAGAGCAAGATGCACAGCTAGATAAAACAGTGTATTTTCAGACATCAGCTGACAGATCTGAGGGTGCAAGTGGCAGAAGCAGCTGTAGAGACTTTCTTTTGTGCTCTATATGGAGCATAGAAGTATGCTGTAGCAGAGGGAGAGCAGGCACTCAAGGGACGAGTGTATTAAAGCCATGTTGTGGCCATCAGGCTGCATGCTTGACCCCCTGGCATTGTAGTAGAAAACTTTACATTGGATGTTACCATTTAGCAAAGGTCTGCAAGGAAAGCAGAATTCCTGCCTATACCATGTGTATGCCACATGGGGACTCGCTGTGCTTGGGCAGGTCAGGAGTGCTGTGTGAGAGGGGGTCCAATGGGCTACAGACAGTGTCAGGACCTTCTTAAACATGATGCTGTTCTTCTCCTGGACCAGCTTTTGAAACAAAGAGGTACCCTGGTTTCGGCAGCAGTGCTTTCTTTCCATTTTCGATATGATAGACTTGATGTTCGCTTCACTAACACCAATTTTCCTTACTCAGGTACTAACAGGCATAAATAGGTTTAATTTCTGTTTTATGTCAGCACAAAGGGCATGCTAGGCTTTGCGAAGGCATGGCAACAGAAGTTAAACAGACCTAGTCCAAAGAGCATCATTTTGATTAAAGCTACTCCTCTGAAAGTACAAACCAAGGAGTTTTCTTCCATGCTACGTTACTAAGGTGTGCAGGTAATGTTCGGGGATGGTGGGAGTAACCGGCCTTTTGCTACATGATTAGTGGAAATTGGAGGTGTGTATGGAATACCCAGTGGGAAAACTCAGGTAGCAGATATTCTGGAGGATGGACTGCAATGTGGAAATGGAAGCATATGGGCTCCAACCTTCCCTGGCAGTGCCTGCCCTGAGATGGAAATACCAACTCAGGTTATCTGCACTTAGAATTCACTAGGCCAGCATGGGTACAGCTTGCCATGTGGATTTATGATATCTGCTGTGCTAAAGCCATCTTATGTGTTCTTGAAATTCATCTGCTTATAGGTCTCAACTACATAAGCTGTTCTGTATGCAAATTAATTCTGCAGAGAACCAGAGATGTGCCTTTGCATCTGTAGCATACCGAGGACTCTGCTTAGTAGCACTCAAGATGCTATTATATGGAGCCAGATAGTCTAAATGAAAACATGGATATTTTGAAAGTGCCTTCTTTAAATATGCTTGTCATAAAACCAGGAAGTTGTAAGGACCTGTATATGGGGCTAAATCCCAAGTTCCCATCCGCTGGACATGCTGTATTGTTTCAGAAATGGCACTTGGAATGGTTTCTAAATCTCAGCTGGTAAACTTGTGTACCCTGGAACATCTCTAGTGTCTGAACTAGCATCGAAAAGTGTATTACTGAGCTTGGATTAACTGGCCAAATATGAGCAGCTGTCAAAGCAATTTCACAAATGGTGAACAATTCTGACAAGGATACAAAAGCTGGCTTGGAAGTGGGATACAGCCAGTATGAGCCTTTCCACATGGTTTGGATGCATCAGCAGTTTTGGAGGCTCATGGGCTACTCACAAGATATAGAGCTTTACCTTAGCCAGAGCAGACATTTTTAAGTCACAGTTATGAGCAAAAGACTGATTCTGATACCTTGTTTGGCTGGAAAGGGGAGGATTTTTAGTGCTTTTAGTACTTTTAAGTACAACAGTAAAAAGATGTAGAATGTGGGAGAAAGACAACTCGAAGAACCGTAGTGTAGTCCAAGGTTTGTGCTATCATAAATAGGCTGTTTCATATGTATTTGAATGAATAAGTACACATAGATAGAATGCAGATGAATCTACTAAAATTATACTAATCACAGAAGTGACAGTGTCTCTGCAAGAAAGAAAAATGACTTCATTCTGCCTGGAAAAGGACATGGATCTTCATTTTACAGTGTCGGGGTTTTGTTTGTTTGGGGTTTTTGTTTGGTTGGGTTTTGGGTTTGGTGGTTTGGGGTTTTTTTACGAACTAAGAAAGGTGAAAAATAGAAATAGGAAGAATTAGAAATGGTGGCAGTGGAATATGGGGCTGTTTTGCAGCTTCTGTAAGTATCTTCCAGTGTCTGAAGGGGGCTACAAGGATGCTGGAGAGGGACTCTTCATCAGGGACTGTAGCGATAGGACAAGGGGTGATGGGTTCAAACTGAAACAGGGGAAGTTCAGGTTAGATCTAAGGCAGAAGCTCTTCCCTGTGAGGGTGCTGAGGCGCTGGCACAGGGTGCCCAGAGAAGCCGTGGCTGCCCCATCCCTGGCAGTGTTCAAGGCCAGGTTGGACACAGGGGCTTGGAGCAACCTGGTCTGGTGGAAGGTGTCCTGCCCATGGCAGAAGGTTGGGAATGGATGAGCTTTAAGGTCCTTTCCAACCCAAACCAGTCTGGGAATTTGTGATCTTAAAACTGTGAAACCTGAGTGAAAATGTGCTGTTTTAGTCATATAGTCACCACAGTCCAACCTCTGCTTGGAACTAAACACATGCTTCAGGGCTTCTGCTGAGAAAGGTCTGCTCCTTGAAGCAGATGCAGTCAGACCTCGAGCTGTTTCACTTACAGAGTCTGGGATGCTGAAGGATTTTGCCCAGAGCAGAGTGGCTGGAGTGTGCTTTCATGCTGTGATGAATACGTTGAGTTTTAATAACAATTATTATACTTCATAGGCTCGTTGGCTATGTCAATATTGCACTCACTGCTGTTGCTGAAACTTGTGATAGTGATAAATTCAGAGAGCATGACACCCAAGTATACGTAGCTGGACTTCACCATTTTCTTCTATTTCACTTTGCTTTTGCTTCAGGAAGAAAATACAGGTTTTATTTCCTCTGTCTCTTAGACATGTGCCTGGTTTAGAGCATTTCCCATTTAGCTTAGCAGTTGTATCCATCACAGGTTATGTGTGTTAGAGAAAACCAAACTAGGGCATGATTCCAGCTCACGAAAGCTGCATTCAATTCCTGCTTTGACTAGATGATTCAATGAGGTCCCTTCCAGCCTGAATTATTCTCTGGTTCACTGATGTCAGTCCAAAATCAATATAGATGCTTTAAGGTCATTAATTTACATATGATGAGGATCTGATCTTTTGCCAGAGACAGCTTTAACAGTGCTTAGCATGTCATCAAAGATGAACATTTTAATTGGAGAATCTATTCCTTGATTTCAATCATGGAATGCATTGCTAGTGACATAACATGGGTGCTATAAAATCCATTTTACCTTTCTAAGATCATACAGTTTTTCTGTCTAAGTGCTCTAAAGTCATAATTGTCTTTAGAGATCCCAGAAGACCCAGCAGTAGCAGAAGAATACTACAATGAAGAGTTTGAATCCTGTTCAGAAAGCAGCGAAGAGGAGGAGGATGTGGAAACGTTACAGACTGTCTCTAAGCCAAATCACCAGGTATATGTGACCTTTGGGAAAACAGTGTACACTGGATGCTCATTTTCCATGGGAAAATTAAGCTCCTTCCAAGATTTTGTCCTCCTGATGTTACTGAAATTGGCTTGTGTGAGGTATGTGTGTTTGTATCAATACCATGAATTAGTTATATGTGTATGCATATGCCATTCTTTTGAGACATTAATGAGAAGGATTCTTGCATTCCCTCAGGACTAAGGATAACACTCCCACGAATGCCTTAGGGTGGATTGTTAGTAAACTTCCTTGTGACCGTAAAGCACTCAGAGTGGGGTTCTGTCATGTGTTACCTATGGGTAAATCAAGTTAAAACTGGAAGTATATTTCAAGTGTAAGCTCTAAGTTCCATCTCTACTTCCTGCGCAACCTCTAGTTGCCACTTCTTCCTGCTGATATTAGGCTTATTTTTGCGGACAGTGAGCTGCAAGACTTGACCAGTGGACCTGTAAACTTTCCCAAGGATCTCAGAAAGTGCCAGTGAAGAGAAAACTTACTGAAAGGCTTAAAGTAGCTTTATCAGGTGAGGCTGCCACATGAAAGCCTTGGGGACTGGAGTCTGAAGGAGGTTCAAGATGATTGGAAACGGCACCTAATTTAGATCTGATCAGGATGAGCTGAGCTGCATCTTGTCTCCAATGATCAAGTCTCAGTGAAATCAGTGAACTTAAATGCCCAAGTAATTTCTGCAAGTTGATCTTTGTAAGGCGTTCAGGAAGAATATAATATCCCTTGCACTGATTTTTGAACATTTTGGACTAATAGCTTCTTTAAATGTAGTTCTTAAGGTAAAAATAAAATATTTGTGTGAGGAATCAGAACCTCTACCACAGCAGCAGGGGGTCCTGAAATTGTCTCAGCAGTTAAACTTGAATCATAGAACCACAGAATGGTTTCAGTTGGAAAAGAGCTTAAGATCACCCAGTTCCAAGCCCCTGCCACAGGCAGGGACACCTTCCACCAGACCAGGTTGCTCCAATCCCCTGTGTCCAACCTGGCCTTGAGCACTGCCAGGGATGGGGCAGCCACAGCTTCTCTGGGCACCCTGTGCCAGCGCCTCAGCACCCTCACAGGGAAGAGCTTCTGCCTTAGATCTAACCTGAACTTCCCCTGTTTCAGTTTGAACCCATCACCCCTTGTCCTATCGCTACAGTCCCTGATGAAGAGTCCCTCTCCAGCATCCTTGTAGCCCCCTTCAGACACTGGAAGCTGCTCTGAGGTCTCCACGCAGCTTCTCTTCTCCAGGCTGAACAGCCCCAATGTTCTCAGCCTGTCTCCATACAGGAGGTGCTCCAGCCCCTGAGCATCCTCGTGGCCTCCTCTGGACTTGCTCCAACAGCTCCATGTCCTTCTTATGTTGAGGACACCAGAACTGCACACAGTGCTGCAAGTGGGGTCTCAGGAGAGCAGAGCAGAGGGGCAGGATCAGCTCCCTTGACCTGCTGCTCACGCTGCTTTTGATGCAGCCCAGCACACGGGGGGTTTGTGGGCTCAAGCAGGCACTGAAGCCGCTCATGTTCAGTTTCTCTTTGACCAAAAGTTTACTCAATTTACCCTTTGGGGAGGGAATTGTTCCTCATCTCCATCTAAACCTCCCCTGGCGCAGCTTGAGGCCCTTACCTCTTGTCCTGCCGCTTGTTAATTTGGGAGACCAGATTGGATGTCAGATCATTCCCAAGCCCGGTGTTTTTAGGAGAAGAAAACAGGAAGAAGTCCTGAGCAGTGTAGTCTCTTTGTAGTTGAGTGTTGACATTCATTGGTGTAAGCAATAACCTTTATGTTCATGGGATACTTCTATAGTGTTTAAGTTTGTGCTTGCACTAATCCTAGTCCTTATTTAATTTTCCCACAGGACAGTGATATTGAGGCAATGGTCAAGTATCTGGAGAGTGTCCTGAACAGTAGCTCATTGGGTAAGATGGTATCTCCTCTTTAAATGTAAGTTATTAGCAGTCTGTATTCATTATATTTCAATTATTTCCATTTTGCAGGAAAACACCTAAAAAAATGTGACCTTGAAAATCACTTCTTCCTTAAACTACTGCAGAGAATATAAATATGCCAAAAGAAAAGGCATACACAGTTAAGTGCTTATGATGAATATAATAGAGCCATAAAGCATGATGGCCAGAGGTGCAGAATGCTTTTGATAACTTGGCTTCTGCCATATTCCCTCCAGAGGAAAATATTGAAGGATACAAAAGTTATTTTATAGTTTCTGGTACTGATAATAATAATAATATAAAATCAATTAAAATATTAAAACAAAAATTAAAGTGATGATCCCAGTTTGGATAATATTTATTTCAGTTTACAGGATCTCATTCCAGGCACAGAAAAAGCACTGGGAATTCAAGACTGCAGTTGAATCCTAAAATCTCCTACAAATTCTGTCTATAAATATAGAGTTTGAAAGCCTGGTTTCTCACTAAAAGAAACAAAAGAACATCTAAAAAGAAAACTCCTGTGAAAGAAGGCTATTTACTGAGGGTGGTGAAGTCACTGTCCTTGAAGACCATAGGATTAAGCTGTGCCAGCAGGAGCCTGTATGTAGGTTGCTCTAAAGCCCAGCAGAGTTCCCAAAGGACCCCAAAGGCTCCCAGGGGAGCTGCAGTCTTGTTTAGCTGCTCCATTTACACTTGTTCAGCTGAGATAAACCTGTATTATCTGCCATTACAATATGGGCTCTGAAACTAGAATATAGAGAAGCCTGGGAAGTCCTCCTTGTAGAGGTTCCTCCAGTGCCAAGCTCTGATACACCCTGCTTGTAAGAAGCATGGGCTGACAGGAAGAGAAAACCCAAGAAGAAAAGGGATGAAAGGGAGTAGTCAAAGCTGTGGCCATCATAGTTTTGGAGCCACTGGTCAGTTTTTGAAGAAGCAGAGTGTCTTGCTCTCTGTTGATGGATGGGCAGGCAAACTGCTTGAATCTGGGTGCCAAATATGTTATTAATCAAGGGTCTGCTTCTAAGAAAATACCTCCAGTACAGAAGTTGGTGTGGGATATGAATCACCCCAGGAAGAAATCTTGAGGTTTGTTGTAGCAACAGTGGGTAAAGCTCTTAGAAGTTTTTACTTAAGAACTCATTTGTTTTAATTACTAACCCCACTTCTGCATCATCCTCCCATCGGTAGTCCTTGCAGCTGCCTCATACCCAGAAAATACTGTTTAAATGGGGAGGAAAATATATACCAGTTTTCTTTTAGAGAATAAAGTTTTTTTGGCATACTGCAATTCTAAAGAGGAGACAAAGTACAAATTATTAACAAGAAGGATGTCTTTAATAATGAAACATCAGAGAGAAGGAGATATTGTAGCAAGAAATAAATTGAACCCACTAAGCAGAATGAGTATCTTGAGCTCTCACTACATGGTATATCCTGTAATAATAGTAATACCAGAATTAGCTGAAGCCTGTGGTTAAATGTATTCTCTCTTAAGAGAATACAAATATTGTATTTTTCCTAGACCACTGGTGCTCAGGGCATCCATTTTTTATTGCTTCTAAAGCCCCAGAGCTCCACAGCTGGCCCTTAGCTCCATACCAACTCAAAGAGCAGCTTGCTACCCAGTAAGTCACAGGCATTGCTTTGCACAGCACTTGGGGTTTCTTCAGGGCCACCCTTTGATTTCCCAACAAAACTTCTTTATCAGCCAGCTCATGCTCATTCTTCTCCTGTGCTCATTCTTCTCCTTTTCTTTGGCTTACTCAGTTCTTCCCTTCCCTTTTGCATACTCCATGAATTTCTTTATAATTAGAAAAAGAGATCCTACTTTAGCTTTCGTTTTAAAGTAATAATCAAGCTAAAGGAGAGACTTGCCTCTTAGGAAGAAGGTTATTGCTCGTCTAACTAAGTGCAGGAACAATGGAGGAAAACTTGTATTGTCTAAGCAAGTTTCATTTTGTTGACTATTTACCTGTCCCAGCTCTTCCTTGAGTGCCTCTGCTTTCTGTTGTAATGTAATTCCATCTATGCTACAGAGAAGGAAAATTGTTGTTCCAGTTCTGGCGCCTTTAAGCTATAAATCTACTTGTCCCTCAGAAAGGAGTTTCCCTTAACACGCATTTGATAATCTAATCCATCTTTAATTAATGTGGCACTACCTTGTGAGAAACCAGAATAGTCGTCCTCCTTCTGACTGCCCTTGACTCTGCAATAGAGCTCAGGGGATGAAGGTGAATAAGGTTATTTGTGCATTGATTTGTAGGCTCGGGGACTGTCACCAGAGTGTCTCCAGTGGTGCCCCAGGGATCCAGAGCTCTCAACAGCACTATGGCTGAGACCAAACTGAAACGCATGAGGGAGTAAGTAACACATTTATGTGTTCCCAATATTCAGACACAGAGGATTGATTTGAAAAAATACAGACCATAGCAAAGAAAACCATGTGTTGTTTCCTCACCCATCAACAAAAAGAAGTGGAAGGTATGGTATTCTTTATAGACTGGATGCCTACTTGCCTCGAGGGAGGATGAAGGTTGACTGTCACTTCTGATTCTTTCATAGTAATCTGCACAATCACTGTCATCCTTCCAGGATCCAGTCTGCCTTCACTGCTGTCAGTGTCATCTGGAACATTCCTTTATCAGCTCAACACATGCCCACAAATCACTTGCAGATAGCCATGTACCCACCATGTTTGCTCTTTCACCCACACTTCATTCTCGCCTGGAACAAAAGACTTTTGTTTCCCGTGATGCTATGATGATTTAAAGCAAACATGATTGTTGCTGTCGATTGGGATTTTCAGATAACAGAGAGTAATTACATGTGCAGCTCCCTTTGAAACTCATTGTTTAATTGCTTTCAGCATCACTGAAACCCCAGCTTTGTTAATAAATATTTCAATGTCTTGATAAAACAAAGATCTGTGCTTCCTTTCCAGAATGTACTGGTTACTGCACTGTGAGCTTTTATCTTGATTCAGTAATTTATGGCCTTCCAAGATTTATTGCTCCCTAATTTAGGTACTGATCTGGCAATCGTAATGCTCTCCATTATTTATGAACCCAATTTTTCTTTGCAGGGTTGCAACATTCAACTGATCTCAGATTGTACAGTCTTTAAAAAGGGCAGTTTTCTCTGCTGCGGGCAGACAGTGCCAAGAATATGGTGAACGTCATCAGAATACAAATAAGTTCAAACAATTAATACCAGTAGTTCTTGAAGTGAGTCCTCTAAAGAAAATGAATGCAACCACAACAGTGTTGATGCTGATCACAAATGACAGTGCCAGATGCACCGAGTTTTCAAGGGAAATGCCCATCAGATTTACGCTAGATAGAAGTTGTTCTGTTTCATGCTATTTCAGGATGCAACACCTCCTAGGGTTACACTTTGTAGCTCAGCCTTTATGGTGCAACCAGTCAGCAGGTGTCTCAGCCTGCCACTCTGATTGCTTTCCATTCCCTTTTCTTGCAAAGTACTTATAAAAATCAATAAATGCATCATGTTGTGCCAACTAGTTGCAAGGTGGGATTGTTTAGTCAAAATGCCCACTAATCTTACAGCCTTCGTCTTGTGTTCTCATGGTTACAGGATAAACCTTACCTGTTAGAACTTCATGGTCACTGTGTTTAGGGATGAGGTATGATGTTGGAAACAAAAGAAGAGCGGGCAATGAGGAAGTGCAGTGAAATCTGTTTAGGTGGCAAGTAACTGTAGAAAGAGGAGTATGAAGGCTTGGGATTTGCATCATTTTCAGATGCTAACAGCAATAGATTCTGATAAGGGAGACTCTTCCATGTCATGAATTACTCAGAAAGTAAGCGTTGTGCCTAACTATTACAAATAAAGTTATTGAAAGAAACTCTTACTAGCTCTGATAAAATGGTAGATTCATGTGAAATAACACAGGGCTGAACAGAAAAAGGGGCCTTTTAGTCAATTCTAATTGACATGTGAGTGGTGTGGGCTTGCAAACCACTGCAGCAGAACAGTCACTTGACAAGATGTGACGCGGTCATTGCTTGAGTTATCACAGTGCTGCACTGAAGGCGTTCTTTGACAGTAGAAACACTTGCTCTTTATCAGAGTGCCAATATAGGTGGCTTTTACTGTTTTATTATGTAGGACTTTATACTGATACTCATGTGAGAGGAAAGCTGTGCTGAAAGTCCTTGCAAGAATGTAGAAGGAAGCCACTGATGTTCTTGAATACAGTAGATAGAAGTCCTTGATTTCCTATTTTAAGTAAAAAAATAGCTCAGGGCTCAATTTAGAGGCAGACTGGTAGTGTTTAAGATTCAGTCGCTAGCTTTTTTCACTGCAATGCCTGAATATTTTCCTTGACATCCTCTTTCCAATTACCGTTGCGCTCTGTTCCAGCATTTGGAATTGCTGTCCTGTCAGTAGGAATCATGATAAAATCACCTACTCCTGTGGCAACAATTTCTTGTTCATTATATTTAGTAATGTATTCATTATAAAGTTTACAGCAGCAGAGATTTAGCTTTACCTTTCAAGTGGAGTGCATTCTCCCTGCAAAGATTTCTACTTCAGTGCTAAGGATTTTGATATGCAGTGTTGATAGGAAATCCCCATTTCTTGAGCTAGCTCCCACAAAGATTATCTTGAGCTTTTTGTCATTATTCTCCTTCCCAGCCCTGCATGTTAACAGTGAGAAGTCAAGCAAATATAGGAATCAGAGTTGTGTGACTCATATTCTTTGTACTGGGCTTTTAGACTGAGGAATCACATTAGAGGCAGGAAACAGGAGTTGCCATTGCTTGGTATTTTCTGTCTTGCCCACCATTTCATTCTCATGGTGGTTCCCATCCTTGATGGTACTGGGTACCTTGGTGCATGCCTCAGTCTCAGAAGCCAGTATCCAGAGCCAAATCTTCACCAGGGTATCCATGAGGAAAAACTAATGACAGTTGCACAGATGCTCCCCTAAAGAGACTTTCCAACTCTTTCCATAGTCTCTTTCTGAGACCATGCATCTCGTAAGAGAACCACTCCGTTCTTCAGAAACAACTCCTCCAGCCAAAGCATTTTTTGACCTGTTATTGTTAGAACACTTACTCCTTCTTCTTTCACTGAGGTCCATACAGCTTGTCCAAGTCTTCTTACGAGATGTCCAAAGCTTTGGCAGTAGTCATTGCCTGAAAGATTGGCTTTGTCCCTAAGGAAAGCCCTTCCAAGAGTCATTGTAGCAAAAGCCTTTTGATGCATATTGACATCTCAAGTCTGTGCAAGGCTGCATGATCTAAAATGGAAAAGCAAAGGTGAGAAGTAAGACAAGTGTCTATAGAAACCTGTGGACAAGAAGAAGCCTTACTAGGGGTTTTAATGCAGTTGGCTGTATCCACAATTGCGCCTTCTTAGACTGTGAAGTATTTGTGTCCAGGGAGTGAAGGCTTCCCCTCGAAGCTTCTTCATCCCTGTAAGTCAAAATTCATTTCCTGGGCTTTGTAAAATCAGGATTTGTGTTTTGCAGGCTGATTTTTGAGTATTGGAATAGGTCTGGAATGGAATGTATGTCTTGTTTTTTCTTTTCTGAAAATACAATGTAGAAAATCAAGAGAAAAACACCACATAAGTACAGACCATTCTGTGCTCCTTTATGGAGATGTCCATGAATAAATACAATGAGTCCTAGTCCTTTTAATAGCAGCGTACTTTAATATGCAGTTTAGAATTCAATGAAATGTATGCCAGTAAAAGGAAAAGGCTTTTATGCCCCAAATTTTTAAGTACATTAAAATCCTTTAGCACAGCAGTAAGCACCTTTTAGTCAGTTCCTGAAGTCTTACACACAGCAGCATACCACGATCAGGCAGAAGATTTCATCATCGCCTGCTGAGTGTAAGTAAAGCCATCTTTCAGAAGGCATGGAGAAAAGGCATTTGGTGGTATTTTTATTCTGTTCCTGTGAATGCTCATAACACTATTGCTTCAGACTCATGAGCAGTATGCAGATGTGCCGCTTGTTCTTGTGACGCTGGCATCAAATGCAGCCTTCATCTTTAAAGTTCAGAAAGAAAGGTCATACTGAAGTCATCGATTAGGCTCTGGTATTCTTGTCATTGATTAGGCTCTGGTATTCTTTTAGATAAGTAGTCCTAAAAACCCTGAATTTTAAAAGATGCTCATTTCTGTACATTTTTTAACTACCACAGTGAAGAAGTGGATTTAGTTTTTTATTAAATGACGGGTAGACAGTCCTAGGAATTCCACTAGGAATGTTGAACTTGGCTTTATGTGACCAAGCTGGGAACTCAGTCCTGGCTCCTGTCAGGGAGAAGTGAATGCTGCTGGCTTGTGAATTGTTATTGTCTCAAAGCAACAACTGAGAAAGCAGGAATGGGTGAAGCTTGGGCTCTTCCTACCTAAGTAGAAATGAAGGTGAGTGAGGCAAAGTCTATTGCCCTACTGTTCTTCTACTGTTCATAGAATAGTAGGAGTCCTTTGCAGCAGAAGCCGTAGGTCCCCCCCGACTGGAAAAGGTTGCCCAGAGAAGCTGTGGCTGCCCCATCCCTGGCAGACCATTCTATGATTCTAACTATCAGGGGGTTGGAACTAGATGAGCTTTAATCATAAAAGCATAGAATGGTTTGGGGTGGAAAGGAGCTTAAGATCATCCAGTTCCAACCCCCTGCCACAGGGAGGGACACCTCACACTAGACCAGGTTGCTCCAAGCCCCTGTGTCCAACCTGGCCTTGAACACTGCCAGGGATGGGGCAGCCACAGCTTCTCTGGGTACCCTGTGCCAGCACCTCAGCACCCTCACAGGGAAGAACTTCTTCCTTATATCCAACCTGAACTTCCCCTGTTTCAGTTTGAACCCATCACCCCTTGTCCTATTGCTACAGTCCCTGATGAAGAGTCCCTCTCCAGCATCCTTGTAGCCCCCTTCAGACACTGGAAGCTGCTCTGAGGTCTCCATGCAGCTTCTCCAGGCTGAACAGCCCCAATGTTTTCAGCCTGTCTCCATATGGGAGGTGCTCCAGGCCCTGAGCATCCTTGTGGCCTCCGCTGGACAGTTCCATGTCCTTATGTTGAGGACACCAGAACTGCACACAATACTCCAAGTGGGGTCTCACGAGAGCAGAGGAGAGGGGCAGGATCACCTCCCTCAACCTGCTGCTCTCACTGCTTTTGATGCAGCCCAGCACACGGGGGGTTTGTGGGCTCAAGCACACACTGAAGCGGCTCATGTTCAGTTTCTCATCAACCAACACCCCCAAGTCCTCCTCAGGCTGCTCTGAATCTCTTCTCTGCCCAGCCTGTAGCTGTGCCTGGGATTGCCCCGACCCAGGTGTAGGACCTTGCACTTGGCTTGGTTGAACTTCATGAGGT